AATGTCTGTCCTCCTTTATCACAACGAAATATTTACGTGTAGTAACTCTATGGTTAGATTCGGGGACTAAAGGTAGACATTAAATCTAGCCGTAACGCTGCAAGCCAAACGCTTATATCTTATTTTTTGGTGTTAATGCGTAATAGATACGATCTACTCGCGTGAACTACAGATAATCATCATGTATTTTCTATAGTTTGCGCTTTTAATTGGCCTCTTTAAACAAAACTAAAAAACAGACGACAATCTACGCAGGGGCTTTTAAATACAAAAAAATCATTTTATAACAGTACATATTTAACAATTAAATTTAATAAATTTTGTAAGTCTTTTACGGCCATCGTTCAGCATATCATTGTCTTTCGGGCTGTTCGGCCGCAAAATTAATTCTTCGAGCAATCGAGGAGTTAACATCTCCTGATGATGCCATCCACACGTGATGGCGAAACGGGGAAACCTCTTCTCGCTCACATCGGCCGAACAGCCCGAAAGACAATGATATGCAATTAAATTTAAGTTTTTGTGGCCCATAAGACTCGGATTCATAATATTTTTGTTTAAATAAAACCCTTTTACGGTTTTAAACGCGATATATTATTTAAACTTATTTGAAAATGATTTTTAAATTGCCCCCCCTTTGCGTGCCCATAAAAAGACACATTTCAATAAGTTTAAATTGGGTTTTAAACGTTTATAATATTTTTGTTTTTAGAATACAGAGTTGATTTAAAAAAAATTTTCTACTACGGGCAGGACTTGAACCGGCATCGTCAGCTTTCCGTGCTGTTGCTCTACCAATTGAGCTACCGAGTCCCCTATACTTATTCAATTTTATACATGTACCTCTCGCGCAATGTAATTTCTACCTTAACACTTGCGTATTAAGGCTCACTGTCTTTTGCTTCCCCCCCCAAAAAATGTTGGAGGAGGACCCCCCCCCCCCGCCAAATTTTTTTTCCTACTTTATTTTCGATTTCTAAATAGATTAGCTTCAAGTGCAATAACTTGAAAAATATTAATGTTTTCAAATACAGAGTTGATTTAAATCTACTACGGGTATACTTAATTTTAACATGTATCTACTTTATTTCACTACTAAGTTTCAAGTTCCTCTCATGCCAGCCGTATAAATTACTCGACTCTTCGAAGTTCACAATCAGTCTAAATCTTAAAGCTCTCCTCCTAAGACATTTTATAATTTCGTTAGAATCATAGTAGAGTCCGCATGTGTAGCGTAATGAGATACCTTTTTATGATAGAGAAGGATAAGCATGAAGTGAAATAGGCCTTTTATGGATTGCATATTGGGAAATCCACAGGCTGAAACCGAAACGCGATTTACCTTCACGGCTTTTTCATCTGTGGACAGTGCTCGTGGCTTGAACGAAATGTATATATTCCTACCACCCATCTACGGTTACCAAACTTGTAGAGTAGCAATGTACGGTTAATAAAAATAAAAAGGATTTTTCTTATAATTTTATAAGTTCTGTTTGAACCTAATGCTCCTCATTCACAAAAAAATTAAATTACTCTCATCTAAATTTCTCTTAACCACCTGATTTTACCCTGGCTGTACCCTAGCAATAAATCGCGATGTTATCGTCTGAGTGCACCGTAGCCTCTACCATTCGACCTCTAGCTAAGTACTCAACTTACAACCTAAGCGAAAGATAGTATTTCTAATAATTGTGCTTAATGAACTTTATGCGAATCGTATATCATAAATTTGATTCAAGGACGCTTTCTTATACGTCTTAGGCAACATTATACACATACATTTTAGTAGCAAAGTGTTTCTGCGTCACCTATAGTTCTTTTATGGATGGCTCTTGTTAGATAGTCGGCACTCTCTAGAGCTCTATTTATCCATGCTGCTTTCTTCAAGTCATCAGTTCACGGTGCTGCTGGGTGCCCTATACTGCGTTTGACAAGTGTTTCAACTCTTTCCGGTTTAAAACGCGAAATATATGACTTGACTTATTTTTATTTAATTTAATTTGCATTTCGACTTCTACGCATCAGTCATGGGGCCGTAATTTGATTAATATTAGTTAACTGATATTTCGCGTTTTGAACCGTTCAAAGGGTTTTATTTAAACGTGTACCTTGTAAACTACAGGCATTACTTAATGTATAAACTTTTGGAAAGTTTTAGCTCCTAAATATCTATTCGAGGCGTCACTAAATGACTTAGATCGTCTCAAGAGTCAAGACCGTGAATCTCTAGAAGGTAGCCGACCGCGCCACCAAGCGGAACGTGAGGGCGACACGCTCCGCCGCCCGCCAGGATAATGACTTCAATCATATCTCACTTGCCTTCTACCACCTAGCAGGTGAATCTAACTAGATAACTTATTGTTGTCAAGCCATAAATTCATCTTCCACTCATAACGAGAATTTAAATACAAAATACCTCTATTGGACTCTTGGAATTCTTCTCTTAATGTATTTCACTAATTTATTTTTCACATGCTTTATATAGAGGTAAAATCTCTTTAGATTGTAATACGTCACGGGCGGGACCCGAACCGGTATCTACTATCCAAATGAGCGACCGCGCCCGTGAGCTACAATATCAGTAAATTGCTAAAATATATATGTTATTATAACGCTATAGGTTTTCAGATACTATTACATAATTTTTCGGTGTACGTTGTAGCCGTATCCGAGTAATATTTTAGCCTATAGATTTACTGTATTATGAAAAATAATTGTTAAATATTTCTTTACACTTTACGTTACCGCAAATATGTCTAGGTTATCTTTGGGTCATTGTATGCGAAATCGGTGAGGTAAACATTAAAATAAAAATAGTTAAGAACGTATTGCAGGTTACAGAATAGAAATCTGGGAACGAAGAAACACTGGGAAATGTGGAAGAAAATATTCACCTTTGAGATTTCCCGTTGCCTGCGCTGCGAAAAAGGTTCAGGGTATCTTGAAATGTGGGTATCAAAAAAAATGTATGACAGAATCCTCTGTTATTTCAAAAAAGAAATGTCTTTTTTAAGATTAACTGTCTTTGTGGTAATAAAATTTTGGCCAAAATGCTTAATATGGCAAAATAACATTTACCAGGTCAGCTAGTTGAAAAAGAACATCAACGTGAGTTGAGACTAATAATAATTGTTAAGGATATATTAACGTATAGCCATAATTATGTTTTTCGTACGTTGCTGATTAATTGAACGACGCAGTGGAAAACTATAGTTGGTATCTATTATTTTCGAATGATTGTTTCACTGAATCCAGTAGTGTAGGCAACAGACCGTATACCCTGCGGTTTCGCTCTGGTACCCATGATGACGTTATGACATTTTCACTTACAACACCGACCTCAATGCTAGCTACAGTATGACTACAATGTACATTTTGAATTGTGCAAGGGATTCATAGAAGACGCCAATACGACCAAGTTATACAGAAACTAAGATAGTTTCATTATATCCTTCAAATTAACTACACGTTACCGTCTTACTAATTTTAATATTAACGTAGCTGACACTCTATAACAAAATATAGACTTCATTTCCTAAAATAAACACACGTTCTCATAAATTGGATTTTAATTAATAATTATAATAAGAATAGCCCCTTTTGTTTTCCAGTCATTACATTTCAATTTTAAATAATTGCTATTAAAAAAATGGCCTATTTTCATCTTTAGATTGGTCACATCGAAGAAGACCAATTAAAAATAGATAGTTAACATAGTATTGTCTGAATCTGAGGAAAATCAGGTAATCTTAAAATTTCAATTCACTTCCATTTACATTCATACACATAATAAGTTATTTCTGCGCGTTGAATCAGCCCGATCTATCTTCTTAAATGTTGGTGACACCTGATATTTCCCGCCAATCTTGTCATCATTAATACAAATTGCAGGAGATGCCTCAGCTATGATCTAAGATAGTCCGTTTCCGTTTCCACTGCATGATACATAAAGCAGATACATTTCTGTGTCTGTTTAACTGATCGATATTTACCGGTATTCAAACCTATTCCTATGTATCGAGCCACGATTAGATGCGATATAATAGTCTGTAAGTGTAAGTCCAAGATGTAAATATAAACTATACACTAATTCTCTTTTATGAGTAGCATCATAGATAATTTCTAGTTTAATTAATAGCATGTCTACTTAATCCAATAAGGAAGTGACAATTGAATCATTTTTAGTCTATCAGGGTTGTCACGATGTAATGATACAACAATGGTCTATTTTTTCCTCGGCTGCTGCAAAGCAAAAACAGCAAAGCAAAGGTAATGATTTGGTAATAATAAAGCGACCAGTTACAATATTGCTGAAAATACAAAACCAAGATTCGTTATAATCATACATCGTCCTTAAAAAAAATATATATATATACGACGGGGCTTAACATACAAAATTCCAAAAGCAAAAGAAAAAATTACAATTAAACGTCTAAGTAATGAGGAAATTATAATGAAGAATATTTTGAAACTGCAGCTAAACAGTTAGCAGTTATAGTCTTTACTACCTGTGAGATGTCACCATTCATAACATAATCTGTATTTTATGCTAGCACAGCACGTTGTATTTTATTATGTCGTGTAACAAAATTTATTAGCAATTAAATACTTGATTGAATATAGTAAAATTATTATTTATATTACGCAGAGATTTGAATTGAAAATGAATTAAAGTCAACTTTTTTAAATATTTCCTCTATTTACAGATTTTTTAAATATTAAATAATACTAAGGGTTCGTCAGCCCTAGTGCACATTATTATCATCTTTAATCGTGTCATGTCACAGGTCGCATAATCAAATGTGGCGCTGCTCGGGAAGCTACTTTTAATAGTTGCGTTAACTTTTTGCCTCTGTTAATAGGTCGTTACTGGAAATTATGACTAGGACGCACAAAAAAGTGAATTTAAAAGTGTAAATTAAAAATAAAAACTCCTTTCGGTAAAACGGTTAAAAAGTTTATTGAAGGTTCTTTTTTAAGTTTTTGTGTCCGTGTTTTGGATGTGGCATTTTTTGGCGCGAAACAAACAGGCCGCGGCCATGTTGGCGATTTTGACGGCTGCTGCGTTAGTTGTCATATTTTTGGCAACTAAGGGCTCAAGTTATAATGTTGTAGAAAGAATTCACGAGGAGACGAAGGATCTCAGTGAAAGTGCTGAGATATTTTCAACTTTTACGTATGTATCGCTTATATTAAAACTATACTGTATCTTTGTGTTATGTCTAAAAGAAGGGCTTTTCCAACCATAATAATTGGTATAAAATTACCCTCCCATGTTTCTTTGGTTCGTTTAGTTCTAAAGGTTCGAATTCTGGAGAAACGTAATAAAGTTGTGTGTCTGCCACAGATAATAGGCAATTTGACTAAAACTTTACTATAGTTCCGGTACCAAACAGAAGAGGTGTAAAACAAATAAGCATATTCAAGGCTCTTTCTACGTAATTGTCTTCATACAAATAAACTAAAACTATCCGTTCTTGGCACCAAACCTGCTACACTACAGGTCATTAACTTCTCTGAATTGTTCCTAAGCGAATCAGCAGCCCCCGTAGGCTTCTTTGGGGGCGTGGAAATCTTCTTCATTGTTCTGTGCGAAACGCGAGTTTATTAATGTGATACTTCATTTAAGCTCATGCGCATGTATCGTACGAGGTTTCAAATGTGATTATGGCTAATAATAATGAACATTTGGTTTGATCTCCACTGTGTTTAACTTCTGAAACATGTAGGACATTTGGAAATCAAATGGGGTTCCGTTCGGGTCACGAACCACAGTCCACAGATCAATAGTTCGTGAAGTTTAATCGCGTTTCGATTTCAGTCTATGGATTTACGATCCTAAGCCAAAACATGTCGACAGTGCATGGTGTTGTTATGTAGCTGGGGTATTCCATCAAGTTCGTCTGTCAGTCTCTATCATAAAGAAAACACAAATATTAAAAACAAAATCTCGTTATTCTATTAGAAAATAACTATCGTGCCCCGTTACAAATAGTTCTAAAATGATTCATAATAAAATATGTTGCATTTTATGATTGCCGTTGACCCTAGACAAGGCTGCGATAAATGTCACCTCATTATATAAAGTCAATGACACATTGTTGATAATTTTGTTTAGACAATATAATTGCTTGAGAAAAGTCAATGCAATTTGTCTCGGTATAATATAATAGCCGTCAAAGAAACTTATTTAAAAATACTAAACATTTATGACTATTTTATCTTTGTGAATACCAAAGCCAATAGTTGGACAGCCCATCGTAATTAGATGTTATAGGGTTTGGGGTATCATCTTCAAGTGATTTTTTTGTACACAAAAACAATATTAAATTTTAGAAAAATATATTTAAATCGACGGTTTTTAATCCGTTATTCGAAATACATAGACACCAAAACTAAGACTCATGTCATTAATATTGTGTTGATACTACAAAGAATTCTTAATTAGTTCTCTATTGATGGATAATGATGGCGATTCCTTGGTTCGAATCTCTAAATCTAAAACGTTTGTAAATCATTTAAATTTTCTCCTATTGCTCTAGACCTGTTATCTGGAATTAACATTGTCACATAAATATTGACATTCCGTTCTGTGATCCAACGAGTGACCTGCTTATCTTCTGACACAAAAATATTCTCTCATAATTTTGCAGCCTCCCATCCGACGACCACTTCATGCCGTCTGTTGGCAACGGTCATATTGCTACCAACGTCTTCAGCGACACAGTATACATGAACGGGGTCTACAATGGACGAAAGGGGGAAAGTCGTCGCGCGAGAATTCCGGCCTGGGCAAATGTCAGGCTCAATTCGACACTTACACAAACTCCAGTCTACAGTTTGAATACAAAACACGGAGTTTTCACAGTGACGGTAGACAGAGAGAGGTCGATAATAACTCAAAGGATTTTCGCTCATAGGTACTACACGAGGGCTATTGTGAATCAAATTCGCGTTGAGCCTAAACGGAGAATAGGTGAGAGCACAGTTGCAAGTAGTATCTTTTGCTCGAATTACGTTTGCAGGCGTTTCTGGCGGTTAAGAAAAACGAGGAATAGTGATTTTTGAAAACTTTAATATTTTTTACTTGTGCACATGAAGGCACTATATAAATTGAATATTGAAAAAAGAATCAAGCCTCGGTAGCTCAATTGGTAGAGCAACAGCACGGAACGCTGACGATGCCGGTTCAAGTCCTGCCCGAATCGAAAATTTTTTCAATTTATTTTCGATTTTTAAAATAATAATGATTTTGCCAATGTTATATGTATTTTACACTTTAGGTTTTAAACTAATGAGTTGAATATTAATTGTTTAATGATTATATTGATAGTCTGGTTGAAATTCTTACTTACTTACTCGAAAAAAACTGGCGAGGTCGAGCTTAATATAACTACAATTTACTTTAAAACATACTAGGATCTAGATCCAATGATTTTCTAGTTTAGAAAAGTTAAGTAATTGTGTATCTTAGATTATCTATGTGTTGTATGTTATATATTACATAATAGAACTATGGAATTATACAACAATAGCTGTGTTAGCGACTACGTCCCTGAGAATCGTTATTTTGGGCATCCAAAATTTGTTTTGGCAGAGGTAAAGGGTCCTTTATAAACTTAAACTGTTACCCACGACGTCGGCCGCGTCCCTTTCCTTCGTTCTTGTAAGTTAATCTTAAAAGATAGGCATTTAACGTTGCGAACTTTTTTTTAGATTATATGAAGAAAATTAATTCTTTCATATTTATTGGGTATCTTGAACCGTTCTTGCAGCGTACGTTTCGGAAATCCAAAATTATGAATAATTTTCCCACATTACCCGTTGCTTATTTAGTTGTAGCCTACCCAACACAAAAATGTATTTTTCAATTCGCACTAGTAGTTCCTGAGATAAGCGCGCTCAAACAAACAAACAAACTCTTCAACGTATATATTAGTAGATCTAGTATAGATATAAAAAACAGACACAAATTTATGAAAAATGTATCAAATAATTTCCTTTAATTGGATCAAAGTAAGTATTACTCTGTGCAAATTAAATGATTTTTTTTAGTAATCATTTTATGTTGACCACGGAACCATGGTTAAACGACGTCAGGTTTCATCAATGTTGATTATTATTTTTTATTCAGTTTAAATCCTGTTACTTAAAGATCCCAACCACATTCACCACGAGATCTGGATTGCTATTAAGCTTATGCCAGGCGCAGACAGCAAGGACATTGAGTTTCCGTCGCCTACACCAGAATTTATAAACGGGCGTTCAGTATGGAGCGCATGTGGAAAAACTAGGGTCTCTGAGGACCCTGAGTATCAACCGCTTCCTGTAAACGTCTGTGCATACTGGACATCCGTACCCAATCACTTAGTCGTTCCTCATCATCAGCCCAGGGTATTCACGTTTGTTATGACAGCGGATAAGAATGAAACTGTTGCGAGGCAGGAATTCATCAAAGGTATCTTTTTAATTATACAGTCGTGTTTTGTTTTCGGCTTACGTAGTTATGTACTTAAAATTTTACAATGCAGTGTAGGTGAGTTATATTTTTAATATCAGTAATTAATTTAAGCTACCTACTCGCACATATGAGCAAATATTACCATAGTATCTAAATTTTTATTGTATTATATTGTAAATCTTGTTAGATTTTTAGTGATTTAATACACTAGCAGTTTTACAGGAGGATGGTGAAGAGCTATATGATAAACACGTTGACCAGTGGCAGAAGTTATACCGAGAAGCCAGCATGGAAATAGATGGAAATCTTCAATTGGTAAATGCTGGATTACTTTATTTATTCAAGTGACATTTTAACTATCTTTATTATACCACAGAAAAGCACACATTGAATGAGCACAAAGACTATAGTCATAACAATGACTCTAAAGTCTAGAACAACGCATTATCTATGACATTGTATTACCTTAAAATTCCATCTTTCCAAAAAAATCAAGTACATAATGTACCAAAATAATTGCAGGCAAAAATTGTGAATGGCATCTGGTACTATTATTTAAGCTCTCTACCATCGATTGAGACTTACCAACCATCTGATAAATACTACGGCCTAAGCCCTACAGGTTTGGCGAGAGGAGGGTCCTTCGAAGACTACGAAGGTTTGTGCTCCTCATCAAACTTTTTTAATGCTTTAGGAGATATATTATATTTGTCATATTATGCATTGTAGTGTATATGTTCCGGAGAAATTTTAATAGGAGTCTATGCAAACCAAGTTCTTCTGTCATGAATACTAACTTTTTTAATACGCTTAATTAATGGGCACGTTGGTACGGCTTTATAATCACCGAGTCGTGGATTCCTCTCGACTTCCATAGATCGACAGCGCATCTTCATCAGATATTAAAAAATAGGTTGGGTAACTCACATTTCATCATGCGAACTAAGCATGTCTCTCTGTCAAAAAAGAGAACAATACAAGTATGCTTAAACGCCATTTACCTTAACGTTTAAGGTCACAACTTCTGGGACACAGAGATGTGGATTTATCCAAACATTCTTCTCCTCTATCCGGATTATGCCAAGGTGTTACTCCAGTACAGGTTAGAAAATGCCTATGTGGCCGCGGAACTGGCTAAAATAACTGGCAATAAGGGATACAGGTAAGCAATTGTATTGGATTAAGTGCGGTTTGTTATTATTAAAGCTGCGATAGAAACTATATACATCATAACGTTATAGATTCCCATGGGAAAGCGCCTTCACTGGAGGAGAAGTGACTCAACCGTGCTGTCCTGAAGTAGCAGAATTCGAACAGCATGTGACTGGTTGCATATCCTTCGCTGCCAGGCAGTACTTGGCTGTTACCAGGGATGAAGACTGGCTACAGGTATATTAGACGAATAATTATAAATTTTAGTTGAGGTAACCAATGACGTCTTCTGTATCACTTTTAATTAGACATACTGGTATAACTCTACTTTTTTTTAAATACTAGCTGTGTCCGCGACTCTTCTATACTTTTATAGATTTTTTTCCTCGATAATTACCAACTAACATAAATTATTTGTCCATTTAAACCTGTAGTTCCTGAGATTAGCGCATTGAAACAAACAAACTCTACGGCTTTATAATATTAGTATAGATATATAACTGATATTTAAAATATAACATGTAAGTTTTACACATCTCTGTAAATAAAAAAGACTTCTCTGCCTGAAGAAATATCCAAATCTTCTCAAGACCTTTTTAACACTTTCTTTCATTCTGAATTACCTAACAGAAAAGGCCATTTGCATTTTATTGTTATTACCTATTGTCATTTTGTTTCATATTATCATGTTATTTCTTATTGTACAATAAAGAATATTATAAATAATTTTTCAGCACGGAGGATGTTCTATTGTGACCAATATAGCTGAGTTTTGGGCGTCACGAGCTGTAATTAACTACACGACAGGCCTTTACGATATATCGAGTAAATTAAATATATTTATTTTCCATCTACATTACGATAAGCAAGATTTTTATGGTAGAGGAAGGCAGACCGGCTTGGGGTTTACTTGATGGAAGGTGATATACCTCAGCCATATAACATCTAAAGATGATCACATTTCCAATCGTAGTCCAACGTGTGTCAGAAAAATTGTAAATTGATTAGAAGCATGTTAGACTCGGCAGGGATGAAATCCACGAGCCGTTTATTATTAACCGAACATTCCTACCAAAGCTTTTGGGGTTTTATTAAAAAAAACGTTTTGGCTAATTTGAAAATGTAATATTTTTTTTCGAATTTTAATTTGAAATTTTATATTAAATTAATTTGAAAATTTTATATTAATGGATCGGTAGCTCAATTGGTAGAGAAACAGCGCGCAACGCTTACGATGCCAGTTCAAGTCCTGCCAGAGTCGAAATTTTTTTCAAATTATTTTCGATGTTTAAAATATGGATAGTATTTCTCAAGATATTAATGATGATATATATATCTTATTCTAGATGTTATGGGCCCAGATGAAGACCACAGCAACGTGACAAATTCTGTATTCACGAATGTCGTCGCCGGATACTCCTTGTACTTAGCACAGTGAGTAAGCAAAGTACCCATTTTTAATATTTTTGGAAATGGTGATTCTTATTTTAAGTCCTTCGTAAATTAATAAGATAGAATCAAGTATTTACTGTTGTTTAGGCGAAATATACAAGTTTAAATAAAACACTCGCAACGAATTAAAACGCGTTTTACTTATTCGTTTCACGCGGTAACGGGTCCTGTGACCTTTGCAAAGCACCCGAAACGTAAGACCGTAGATGAAATAAATTGTAAAGAAATTAACTAATATATTTCGGGTTTCAAAACCGTTTAAAGTATTTTATTTAAATGTGCACTACTCACTTCAACAAATAACATATTTCCTGTTTTGTTTTATTTAAAAGAGATATTAATGAATTAATATCTTTTACAGATATGTAGCGTGCCTTTGCCAATCTTATTACGAAGCAAAAGAACCGGATCGCTGGGCTGATATCGCTTGGAGTCTGGCCTTACCCTACGACACAACTTTGGACTACCACCCCCAATTCGCAGGGTACAAACGAGGTGACGTCATCAAGCAGGCAGATGCCGTGCTCCTGGGATATCCTTTACAGTATCCCATGAACATGTAAGTAAGATAAAGTCTGGCATAAATTGCAGTTATATTTAGATAAAACCCTTTAAACGGTTTAAAACACAAAGCATATTAGTTAATTTATTTTTAAGTCGGTTTGTGAAAATAGCGTAGAAGTTTTGACTTTGACATGTTCAGTCTTCCACGTGAACTGGTCGCTGCACTCAAACGGGGGGCTTTTAAAAATAATCGATTGTTATGTATTTTCGCGTTTTAAATCGTTTAAAAATAGTCTTTAAATAGTAGTCAGGTATTAAAATCGACCCTCAACTTATTGTACGATAGCATTCATAGTGACCATCAATAGTCATATAACATTTACAATTTCATATAGTTCGTCCTTGTGTCTAATAAACACCAATAGTTAACCCTTAAGTAGCAATAAATAAAACAATTCTAAATAGTTACTGTGACCAATTTGTACCAATGAGTTGAAATAGAAGCTTTCAAAGTAGTTGTGTATGGGGGAATGGTCAACAAATGACCCGGCCTCCTATCTACAAAGGCAAATAAAGTAGTTGTGTGTAATTTTTTTTTACTTTTAATTACCTATAGACGAGGAAAATTCGCTTGTTGTGTGTTGTAAAATACTGTAACTATATGACATTTTAACAAGTTGCGCTTTCACCTTATTTTGCCTTTGGATATTTGGAAATCCACAGACTGAAACCGCGATTAGACTTTACAGATCTTTCATCTATCGGCGAGGGTTTGTGATCCTGGCGGAATTTCTTTTCAACTTTAAAGAATCTAGCATACATGTGTACAATTATAGATTTTTCTTTTATATTCCCCTAAAATATCGGAGCAACTAACAGCAAAAGAGAATTTAATTGACTGGCTCTTGGCGTGACAATAGTGGTTTATAGTACACGTATGTATATTTACGTATTACGTACGTAATGATTTTATAAAGACTAAAGATTTTAAAAAATATAATTTTAATTTTATAAATCCAGCGTGCTAGTTACAATGTTTGGAAGAAGACAAATCTTTTCGAAGCAGAATTGCTTGTGCCCCTAAATCAGGCATAATTTTTTATATTCTTATTCATTCTCATTGTCAAGTAATTCATATCATTAAAAGCAAAATTAAATGTCGAAAGGGAAACATCTAAAGTTTTTTTTATCGACTTCGAAAATCTCTCGGCAATTATGATAAAAAATATATGAATTTAATATATTCCTGTCGTTATTTTTCAGATCGACCAGAGCAAATGACTTATTATACTACGAATCTGTCACAAGAAACAGCGGACCAGCAATGACTTGGAGCATGCATGCAATAGGCCAGCTACAGCTCGAAGACAATTTAAAAGCAGCAACACTTTTCAATAGAAGCTATGAGGCATATGTCCGGGAGCCTTTTAAAGTAAGCTATATATAGTAGTGGGTATATTCAAGGAAAATGTATGTTTAGATCTTAAGGATAAAAATTACTCATTTCGTAAAAAATTAAATAAAACACCTTTAACGGTTTAAAACGCGAACTATCAATGTCCATCTCATATTATATCAATTTTAACTACGAAGCGACTTTTCTTATGTTTCACAGCCATGTCGTGACAACATAAATCTATATATTTTGTGTTTTAAACCGTTAAAGCTGTTATTGAGATGAAAAAATGATCGTATTCGTACTCGTATTAATAATAATTTAATTAATAACACAAAATACTTTGACTAAAATAAAACAACCAGTGACAAATGACTTCTTAAATATATATATATATATATAGTGTGTTATTCATATATTGGTACAAAGAATACTATATAAACTCGTAGTAGAAATTTCTATTGATTTTACTATTAAAGAAATATTTTACTTTTTTCTACCAATAATCTCTGCATTTTTTGGAAAACTTTAATACTTTCACATGCTCTGCATAATATGGAGTTTATATATTGTCTTTTTTATGCTTAGATATGGAGTGAACTACGAAGACCAGATGTAGGCGCCGTCAACTTCTTTACTGGAATGGGGGGGTTCCTACAAGCATTGTTATTTGGATACGCGGGAATAAGTGTACATTTGGACAAAATGGTTATTGCAAAACCGCAGCTTCCACCCGAGGCGACCAAGTTCAAAATAAGAGGTCCGGTACTAATATTATTCTTAAATTGTTCAGTGGTGTTTATACAGCTTGTTATATAATAAAAAAGGAGGCAAAACTATACTACCTTTAAACGACACACTTCTAACAGTTTAAAACGTGATATATATTGGTTAACTTAATTTTAATCAACGGAAGCAGACGTTTTTCCCTGTCAGCACGGCTGCTACGAAACTAAACCACATTTAACGGTTTACAAGGCAAAATATATTAGTTTACATATTTTTATTTTCGCAGCAGCTGTGCTGATGGAGAAAAACGGTTAAAAGTGTTTAATTTAAATGTGCACAACTCGCGTAAACAAAACAAAAAAAAATAACACATATATTTTTTTTAATTTAACACGATCAAGGGGGGGGATAGACAAGCACGGAGTTCACTTGATGGAAGGCAAAATAGCCCTGACATATAACATCATAAACAAGATGAGCTGCCAACTTATTTTGGCATTGCATAATCTTTAAATCTATACTAATATATAAAGCTGAAGAGTTTGTTTGTTTGTTTTCACGCGCTAATCCCCGGAACTCGTGGTTCGAATTTTTTTTTTATTGAGGAAGTAGCATTATAGGCAAGGCTATAAAACGCGCTGTGACTAATAGGAGCAAAGAAGATGGTAAAGGAAACGGGAGAAAATGTTCATATCTGTGGGCTTCCGATGCGTACGCTGCGAAAACGGTTCAAGATACACAAAATATATGTATCAAAAAATCTAATAAATTTTTCAATAATCTAAAAGTCAGCGACACTATATGTCTATCTTTGAAGATTAACTTGCAAGAACGACGGGAGCCGAAGGATGGGTCGCGGGCGACGCGACTCATCCAATTTCAATGTCGGATAGCAGTTTAAATGTATAAAGATGAAGAGGAGGTTTTCAAAAACAAATTTGAATGCCCAAAATAACTATTCTACACGGACGAAGTCGCTGGCGCAGCTAGTAAATGATAAACACTATCTTAGGAAGGAACAACATTGATATAGGCGGGAATCGAACACATTTACGACTATAATTTCGATCTTTCCCCTAATATATATAAGATTTGAAATTACAGTGTATAGAGATTATCACAAAAGTTACAAATAAATGGAGAAATAATAATTTAAGTATGTTTTTCAGGTATCAAATATTTAGGAGCGCACCTGACCTTAGAGATGCAAGTAGCTGGAACGACGTTGAGTGTCACATCACTGGACGATCAGTGGCCCCTCACCATGTTCAACGGAAAATATAATATTACTCTTGTACCAGGACTTACCGGTGAGGTGTTCCATCTATCTTATCTAAACGCCTTATAGTTATCTACATCACTTTTAACGATTAGAAACGCAATCTACAATTAACTGCATTTATTAATTTAAACCATGACCTTGTGTACAATTTTACAGCAGCAACGTAAATTATCCATTTTTATTTATTTATTTTCAACAATTAAAACGGAAATAGCCAGTTACATTCATTGGATAAATCAAATATATTTTGAGTTTGAAAGTGGAACAAAACCGTTAAAAACACTGAGTTTTAATGAAACACTTTTAACGGTTTAAAACGCGAAATATATTAGTTAACTTGTTTTCGTTTTATTTTAACTATTTCTTTGTTAACTATTGCGCCCTCTCCCCACCCCCCCGACCACGTCTGCTGTTAAACATCCGAACTGGCTGATATTGAATAAATTGTAAACATGGTAATAATATATTTCGCTTTAAAGCGTTAAGTGTTTATTTAAATATATTTTTTAGTTATTAACTATCAAGTCGCGTAAACTGCAGATAATACATGAACCTATTAATTCTGCTCGTCGCTTCGCGGTTTTGTTAGCTCTTATTTGAGATCGTTTTAAGTATAGACGACTCCTGCGTCACAGATTAAGTATGCCTTATGAAATTGTAAGAGCAATGTCACTGTTAGTAATAAATAATGCATTTGTTTGTGCATAATAGGTATTGATTTATCTACGTCAATGTATATTTGGTGGTCTACTTTGAAGTTACGTAACTAAAGATATAACGGTTTTATACTTAAATATTAAAACACCTAACTATTGATTTTTTATTATTTTATTCAATGGAGAAGTTATGTTTCACCATTTTGTTATTGTTTCCGATACGTTACCGACAGAGAAGTTAATTAGTAAATTGATTTTAGTACTAGTACAACTACAGCAGCAGCCAGCAAGAGAGGCATTGATGGACGAACGTGTAAATCTCAAGAAAGGCTAGGCAATATTTTTCTCAAATAATGCGCGGAAATCAAACTAAGTAGCACAATTCAGAACTTTAAAATCAATGAACTAATAACAAAAATTTTTTACGCGCCAAACTATTTTTTTTTACTTAACAACTTTCTATGTGCAAGCCAGTTTGATAAGTTACCTCTTTGGACGCCATCTTGCGGAGCAGAAGATCGTTCCATTTTTAAATTACACGACAAATATGATTTTACATAGACATTTATTTCGACATGACGTACAAAAAGAATATAAATCAATGGTATAAAATATTGATAGTTGCCAAATGTGTAGTGTCGTCGAACACACGATGTATTGTAAAAATAATAAATTTATATATTTAGTAACGTCGCGCTGTTGATTTTGTATGAAATTTAATCGAAATTTTGTATTTTGTGTTTTTGGAAATAATTCTATTTACATAATGCGCGCGGCTAAAATTAATCTGATAAGTCTCCGTGCATGATATTTACTTTTTAGTTCAAGGATCATAACTTTTTCTTTTGTTTCAGTGACCCTTGTCGGACCGGGACCATTCACTATACATTCAGTGCATTGGAAAGATTGTAAACTACCAGCAGACGTAATTGGCCAAAATTATTTAAGACCTATTGGTTCGTGATATCTTAATAAAATAGCTTTTAAAAAATTTTTTTTGTAATTTCCTTTTTTTATATTAGATTGAACTAGATTTTTTTGATAGGCTCGTTGGTGTAATGGTAGCAATGTATAGTTAGTATTTAGTAATTACGGGTCCTGGGTTGCGAACCCCACTGAATCAATTTCTAAATGGGTAATAATATCGAAATTCCGTCTGAGTCCCGAACCACCATCCAAAGATGAAAAAGTCATCATCTTAATCGCCAGTTTCAGTCTGTGGATTTCTAAATATCCAAAGCCTTAATAGGTAGACAACACATCTTGTTTAGATGTTATTGATGGGGTATTTCACCTCCCATTTGAACTCCAGTCATTTGATGGAAGGTGAATTATATGTAGAATGGCTTGTCTGCGATCCTTATAATAAAAAAAAGGTTCTTGCTGCTCCGCTGAGTGAGGGTTTGGTGGTAACCCTGTGGTAACATTTATATATGAAATTAGTAGATTAGAAGAATTAAAAAAAAACCCTGAATATAATTAATGTTGTTTATTTTACCGGAACGCGATTAGAGTTTTAGCAGAGTTAGCATGCAGTATTAATAGAAAATGCAATGCGAATTGTTTTCAAAACTTTAAACACGTGTATACTGTTAACCTCTTTTGTTAACCGATATTACACGTTTATAAAAACAATAATTTATTTCTTCGTATGACTGACAAGTTTGCGTGTCAATTTATGGAGACAGAATGATTGTTAACCGCCTCTGTAGCCATATGGTTAAAGGCCTAACATAGCGTTAAGAACGATAGATTTTGGGTTCGAATCCCAGTACAAGTATGCATGTTAGAAATATCTCGTGGTTGGGGGGATTTTCGTGTCCGTTTCATTGATGGACCACCATTGCACCATTTTAAGTATTGTCTGTAGTTTACGCAAATGCATACTGCATTTAAATAAAACACTTTTAACTTTTTTAAATACAAATATTTAAATTTCATTTAAATCAGTTCAGTAGTTTCGGAGTTAAATCCGGACAGACAGACAGGGTTACTTTCGCATTAATAATACTATTAAAATCTATAATTTATTTAAATAAAAATTTATAAATGGTATGGATAACACGGTTTGACTTTGTTCGGCATTTCTATCAATTTGTTGATGAAAGACATTTTATGGATAATTTTTTTACACCTCCCGTTGCTTTTAATAAAAATTTATAAAGAATTCTATCGTAATCTAGTACTAAGTATAGTCTATTTTACTCAATGATAATGTAGCTGTCTAATGAAAAAAAGAATTATTAAAATCGGTCCAGTACTTTTTGAGTTTATCCGTTACATACAAAAATACAAATCTTTCCTCTTTATAATATTAGTTGCTATAGCTTCCAAGTTATTCTTAAAAGATAGACATATAGCGTCTGACTTTTTTAGATCATTTAAAGGGAAATCATTCATTCGTATACAATTTTTAGGTATCTTGAACCGTTTTCGCAGCGTACGCATCTAAACCTACAAGATGAAGAATTTCCCCCTTTTGTTCACATCTCCTTATTTTCGCTCCTATGTTAACATCGCAATGTGTTATAGCCTTCCTCGATAAATGCTCTAACCACTTAACTAATAATTTTTCAGTTCGAACTCGTACTTCCTGAGATTAGCCCGTTCAAACAAACTCTTCAGCTTTATATATTAGTATAGATTTTATTTAATTTGACGTTTCTGTAATGATTGCTGTGAAGTACAGCTTAAAGCTTTGTTGTTGATGGTTAAAAGTGCTAGTTTCTAAATAGCTCAACAGGGGCGCTGAAGACACTATCGTATGATATAGGGTTACGTCATCCAATGACTTCAAGGCTCAAACTTTAGTATGTGATTAACTTACCAGCTGATACGGAAAAAGCGGATTTTTGTGCAAGATTAATATTATTACAATTATATATTCGAGTCGTACCAACATAATAGTTGGTACGACTCGAATATATAATTGTTAACGGTTCTTGCGAGTTAATCTTAAAAGATAGACATGTACTGTCGTGGTCGTTTTTTTAGATCATAGAGGAATTTCTTTCATATTTATTTGGTTTCTTGAGCCGTTTTCATAGCGAACGTGACCGTAGGCGAAAACAGGAGCCTAAAGCCTTTCTCGATAACTTAACTTAATAATGTATAGTTAGAGAGCGAATACATTGGAATTTAAAATGTCTTTCAGGGCTTCAAACACCGCTTGTGTTGAGAGAACTTGAATATTCTTTTAACTCTCCGATTTAATTTAATTTATGCTCGTATCCTTATAACAATAAAGTTCGTCATTTCTATATACACCAGCAAACATTTTATGTGCATTTCTATGTTTGTTTTACTAATCACTTTATGATTATTCAATAATTGAATTTGCTCGACTCAAACCTATGTTTTCTTAGTATTCAAAATTAAGCTTAATCTAACACGTAACCTTTGAACCACCGACGCAGCTTATCAGCGTGAAATGAGATTGCAGAAATAAAACAACATACATACTTAGGTAATTTTTTCTTCAAACCATGTAAATAAAACTGAATGTAAGTGTATTTTTTATTTAACAGATCTTAATCATCAATGAAATCATAAACACTTCATATTAAAGAAATATTTCTATGAAAATACTTATCGTAGCGTAGTTCACGTTGATAAGCTATTATCTATGAGGAACGCACTCTGTTACTGGGAACCTGAATAATGTTACTTAAAAACTTTATAGAGTCATGCTATAATAAATAACGATTTACGATAACCGCCAACATCGTATATCAGTTGTAAAACTATCTTCTACAAACAACAATACTTCTTTCTACTAATCGTAAAAATAACTAAATAGTAGAGTTAGGGTTACTACATCCATAGTATGAGTATTAACAACTTTTAATTCCACGGTCATGAAAATCCACTTAGGTACTTGCGATTTGAGTTATTAACAAAATATAATTTTAAAATATAACATAAAAAACTCAGTTGGTAAAAATGCACAATATTATAAAAAAATCAACAATTGTATCTATTCATTAAAAAAAATTATCTTATTCTAAAACTATCTTTAGAAGTAATATTTCTGTACTTGGAATGAATTGTAAGAAATTTAAAGTGGATTATTATACTTTCTTAAAACATAAATATGCCTTTGTATATTTTTCTAACTATACATTTCAAGACGGGAATAAATAAAACATAAAACTCTCTATTCTGTACTTTACGAGCGTAGTACACAGTTAAATAAAACACTTTTACCGGTTTAAAACGAGCGGCCCTCCCGTGACCACTGCAAAGCACAAAAGGGCGTAGTTAAAATAAGTAAACTCAAATATTTCGAGTTTTAAATCGTTCAAAGTGTTTTATATAGAAGGCCAGAACATTGCATCACTAAGGCAAAAAATTATTTCACAATTTCAGATATTACGCAATATATTTTTGCTAATATTACTAAAATTTTTGCTGTTGGCATGTGATTTACCTGTTACATCTAGGTTATAGAATGTATGCACATGTAACGTCGAAATTTTACTATTGTTAGTTGGATCGTCTTTCACCTACCGACGTGAAATTGATAATAATAACCTACTTTACGAATTAGAGACTTACGTACTAGATAGAAAACATTGGGTATAGAATCTTGTAAAAAACAGCCTGTACATTTGTATAATATATTATAATTAGGTACAACAGACAACTGTACTAAGATTATGTTTACAGAAACTATATTTACATATAGTATGCATAAGGCACGCGTTGTGCTGCATTCACTCGATTGAAACACTATCTCTTTGAAAACTTGCGCACGATCAGAATAATTAGCGAGTCATAATGATCTCTTATTACTTATGTATTAGTTATATACAACATAATATAAACATAACTATTTTAGATTGAAAAAAATCGATAACAAAAGTAATATAGTTTCGAATCCTGCGCGTATTATATATTTTTTTTATACGAAGGTCAGCTCGCTGTAGTAAAAAACAGCACAATTTTAACATTTGCGTCATTATTGCATCTGGCATTTGATTGAGCAGTTGTTTTTCTAGTTCTAAGAAGAAGTGCTAATGACGTCTGTTTTACACCAAGTTTTTTAATGCTCAAGCAATAGTTTGCTTGTGTAGAATCACGGAAAGGTTAAAATTTACTAATTTAAATAAACGTCTGACTAAGACACGAAATATATTATGCAAGTAATAATATTTTTCTGCTATTACACAATATATTTGCCGTGCGTTCACATCCCTCTAATGTTTTCATACTAAAATCATCAAAAATTAAGTCCTTTGGCTAAATCACCCTAGATCGAAACCTATAATATTGTCGAGATCGTAATCGAAAATTCTAAAATCATATTTGTACAGTTTATAAAGCTTTCGTATTAGAGGTAACTCCAACTGGGAGAAATATTTGCGCAACTTCTGAGCAGTTCCCGAGGTGTGTGTTAGACGTGGGAACTGCACCTTATCAGTTGCATTGATTGTATGAAGGGCGAGGAGTGAGTCGTCTAAAAGAGTTTCATATTTACCTGAAACAAAAAAAGTATATTTATATCACAAAGCATTAAACTGCTAGAGGCAAAGTGGCCTAATAACAAAAATATGATTTTTAATAAGGAGGAAAATACAAAAGTGCTATCAACTTGGGCAAAAATTAATTTATACTCTCGTACATTAATATTTTTCATTTTCAAGTCATAAAATTGCAGTTAGGCTACTCTGCCTCTAGAGGTCTCATATATTCTTTATAAAAACTTTTAAAATGATTAAGATTTAAAGTCCAACGCCAAAATAGATCGACAGCGCATCTCGTTTAGATGTTACATGGCTGGGGTATTATTTACCTTCAATCAATTGATTGTCTCACACTAGTCATGACAAATAGTCATATATTTTTATAACCTCAAATCGACCCGACGCTACGCTGCAAAAATACTCGTAAAGACTTAATACCCGTTATAGTAGTTTGATTAAATATTATTAATGATCTTCTATTAGATATAAGTTCTTAATTCTTATATATCTACATTTATTGAGGTCAATTTTAAGTGCTTTATGAATAATCGTTCGCGATCATATTGTAAATACAATCTTCAGAGTTTACAAATTCAACAGCATTTAATTAAAACACTTTTAATGGATTGAAACGCGAAACATATTGGTTAACTTTTTTTATTAAAGCAGCAATGTGTCAGCAAAACAAAGTAAGAAATATATTGCGCCTTTGAAACCGTTGAAAGTGTCTTATTTAAATGTTATACTATTCGCAAGCTATAGACAATACTTGGCAACGTTAATGTTATGTAAAGACCTGTTGTTACAGCGGCCACAGAACAACATCGTCTGTGTAAATTAAAATTGCTTATTATCACAAGTTACGAGGTACAGCCGAGTGATAGAGAAACAGCTGAGGTTTGGCCGTAATTTGAGTACAAAAAGTAATTATCATACTACATTTTTAACGTTACACATTGTATGCCATGAAAGTACAAATAATATTCTTTATTGTCAAGATCATAACAATTAAAAAAGTTGATTGAAATTAAGGCGGCTTTATAGCTAATTAGCTATCTCTTCCAAGCAACCGCGGTGAAAATGAAAACACAATAATAAACGATTGATTCGTGACAGCAGGACTTACTTAAACTTTAACTACAATACATTGCTTACCAACTTAACTAATTTACCTGATCTCTTTAAATCTGAAGAGTTTGTTTGTTTGTTTGTTTGAACGGAATCTCAGGAACTACGGGTTCTTATTGAAAAAATATTTTTGTGTAGATTAGACAATTTATCGAGGAAGGCTAGACTAAAAAAATATCATGCTGCGACTAATAGGGGCGAAGATAAAGCGGGAAATGGCGGGGTAAATTATTGAGACTAGGTGGGTTTCGTACGCTGCGACAATGGTTCAAGATACCCAAAAAATATGTATCAAAGAAACCCCATTTAAATAGTCTAAAAAATTTCCGCGACAATATATGTCTATTTTTTGAGCTCAATTTGCACGACGACGCGATCAACATCATGGACAATAGCTTGAAGCTATAGAGATGAGGAGGTTTTCATGCTCAAAATAACTATTCTACGCAGACGAAGTCGCTGGCACAGCTAGTTAGAGATAAATGTAGAGTGGGATAATAAAAAGCTATAACCGCCCTTCCTTTATTGCAAGAAACCTTAAATACATATGTATTTAAACGTAAACAAGTCTAACATAGGAAAGTGCATCGTGCATATAAAATAAATAGATATCTAGGTCACGAGGGTCGGTTCCAGGTAATAGACCCACTTGAGCGGGAACCGGACCTAACCAGATATTCTATACGTGTATATGTAGATAGGTGGATATGAATCTATTCACTTGAATTAAATTATTATTACGGCCTACTGACATAACGTGAAGTGGGTTAGTAACACCTTATACTGTTATTTAAAATTGTTAACGTAACTTTACATTAATAATTAATAAGTATTTAAAAGTAATTAAAATTAAGAAAAAATCGCTATTTTTATGATAGAGGTGGTCAGACAGGCGTAGGCTGCCTCATGAGATGGTAGGTGGAATACCCGAGCCACACACATCTAACATCTTAACAAAATATTGATAATTTTGATTTTATCTGGAATTTTGCTCGTTCCTATAGGAATATATATAATTATAATAATAAACACTTTATTGCACAAACATAGACATAAGAACATACTTATTACTTATATATAGTTTTTTAAGATTAAAGATTTTAACAGTCACGTGACGATCCAAATCTGACCAAGTCAAATCTCATAATCCCCTGTGGGGCATGGGGCGTACATATATCTGTGCCCGTTTCACTATTTGGTTTTATATACTGGCAAGTACCTAGTTAATGAGACTTTTGAGCCATCCCGGACCAAAACATTCTATTTATCCCCCAGGATTCGAACTTAGGATCTCTTGCGCAACACGCAACCATTTAGCTATAGAGACGCTCCAAATCCCAACTACATTAGTCTTTTGAAGTTGAACGAAATTTAGTTTCTGTTTCAATTTTAAAACTATGTTTAAAGCGTCATATACTAAAAATGAAGATAATTTTTAAAATCGGGGTCGCCTACATCCATTATACAGACAGTTCAAGGTTCATTACAAACAAGATCTCATCTGTTAGGTTAAGATATTTATAAACGGAGACAAGTCGAAGAGGTTCTCTACAGGGTAAACATAAGCACCATTGTCATCGATAGCCTTATCGTACTTATGGACGATTAGTAGATACATTAGACTAAGATGAAGATTATGATACATATGTCTTAGAAAATTGAGTTACGATTTAAATTGCTGATGAAGGGTTCCCTAACATTTATTTATTAAAGGCACAAATTTATCCATGTAACTAATGTCTTGGTTCCGTACCGTAACCTATTATAAAGACTTCGGCCTTCGGCCGAAATTTTAACACTGCGAACCGGAGATACACCGCGAAATCTTTCTTTGTATACGAATTCCAATTAAGAATAAAGACACATGTGCTTTGTCTTGTTAATTACCGATATCAGAAATGTTATTAGAGCCCTTGTTTGTGAACCGATTGGATTGTATTATTATTACCTTTAGAAGGTTATCGATATTTATAAAATCAATTAAGTTTTTAAAGCATCATTAGTGTTATTGAATTTTATATATTATAGGCATTTTTGGAGCGAATTTTGTACTCTCTACTATACGTATAGGTAAGCACTGCCGTATAGGTAACAAGCGTTGCTTAGCAATACCTGTAGTCGTAAGAGATCCAGTCTTTAAATCCTGGGAAAGTGTGATCCTACTAATTAGCTTTAATATAAAGTATTAGTAGACAAATGAGTCAGTTCTTTACCCCAAGTCCCAGAGGAAATCACACTTAGTATGAATGAAGGAAAGCACTATATTTTTTATCAACATCGGACGCCGCAGCTCAGTTTTATACAGTTATAAAAATGTAATAAATTACACAACAATTATAAAAGTCTTTCTATTCTCTGACCATGTAACATTTAACATTCATTGGTTGAATTGCCCAGTTATCAAATTTTAAAGGAAGCAAAACTGGCCATAAATAACTTGATATCGCCGATAAAAATAACAAGTGTGAATCGGATTTAGGAACGAAGGGTTCACAATTTTCATAGCATTGTAATCTAATTACATATGCTCATTTGTTGATATGGTGGAAGAATAGCGTTATGTGCATGGTAACTCAAATATATTTTTTGGTATTTCTTGGGGATTCTTACTTTTACAGGCAGACACAGAGCGGAGTCCTAGGGATAGCTATCAAGTAAATTTTTATTGGGTTTTGAAATGCGAAATGTATTAGATAAACTGATTTAGAATTTTTTAAACCATGGCCCGACGTTTCGGACGTGCTGCTTTGCAGCAGCCGTGGTTACCGGGTCGTAGTTAAAATAATTTGGAAAAAAGTTTAATAAAACCGTTAAAAGTGTTCTATTAAAATGTTACTCGTGTACTACAGTAATTAGGGTTTTTATTTACTTGTGGCTAACCTTAAAAATTGAGTTAGGTAGAAAATATTAATTGCTTTATTAACATAAGCTACAAAATCGTGCTAATTTTGCGATTAGATTTATCACACCGAAAAATTTTAAGACAAGGCTATCTGGTTTTAACTTCTGACCTTTATTGTTAATGTATAACAAAACCTCGCATCTACTAGATACAATGTAATCACACCTCATACTGGTAATTAACACGAATTGCTTATTTTAATTAACCTATATACATTTATTTTTATATTTTTAAAAGTATTATACTTGTCTTATGTCGTTTTAAAGTCATTTATAAAAAATACTGTCTGTAGTTTACGTGAGTGGTACACATTTAAATAAAACACCTTAACTGTGTAAAACGCGATATATATTAGTTAAGCCACAACTGCTTCAAGCTGTGACCACGGCTGCTGTAAAGCATCCGAAACGTCGGGCCGTAGTTAAACTAATTTTCAAATAAGTTTAACTAGAGTTTTAAACCGTTAAACTGTTTTATTTATGTCATTTATATTTCACATAGAACAAATAGTTATATTTTATGAATACAGTCATATTTTATTGTAGTATCACGAAGTTCGACAATCTATTTTAACAATAGAAGGAAATGCACGAACTAAACAATGAGTTTGTGTAAAAATACGAGTTAAGCTTAGAATAAACTTTAAAATTATATTCATTCCAACAGATATTCGTTTTGTTAGTTCATTAGGTGTTGTCGGAAATTCCCTGCGCCTAATATATTACAAACCACAATATGTTATTTCGTAAACGGATGTCTGTGGAGGTCGTACACTATTTCCTACAATAATATTGTTATATCTCTAATATACATTAATTTAATACGATATTTGAGGTAGTGTTAACATTCTATGTTGAAATTTTTGTATCTTAAGTTGAGGGAGGTATCGACCGTGTTTCGATTTTCGCTAGATATAGTCAAAACCAATGTTATACTTAACGTGGATAACTGAGGACGAAATTCTTGTTAAATTCCGCCTATTCTGAGACACTTAACTATCATATTTTTTGTATATCTATAGTAATATTATAAAATCAAAAGGTTTGGCTACTGGTTCAAATTGAAAAAATATATTTCTGTTGATTGGACCATTATCGAGCGAAGCTTTAGGGTTTGTAACGCCAGACTGCGGCCACTATGAGCGTAGAGTTCGCGTCGCGTGCACTTCGAAAATGGTTTAAGGTTTAAACCAAAAAAAGTCTATGATAGAGTGATTTCTCTTCAAATAATCTAAAGAATATACACTATTAATCTTTTAAAATTAAATTGAAATAACGACGAAACGCGGCCCACATCGTGGGTAATAGCTATAAATTTATAAAGCAGAAAGAAGTTGTTTGAAAAATAAATAATATGATGCCCAAAATGACTACTCCACGCAAACAATGTCGCGGGCACAGCTAGTTAATATATATTCACTCACCAACTAAAGTGTATTTAATAAGACACGGGTGGCACAAGTTGATAATCGGTTGCCAGTGTTCATTGTTCACCATGTCCGCCAGTTCTTCTGTCTTGGTCGTGAGAAAGAGGGCGAACTCCCTGAAGGTTACGTCATGTCCTAGCTCCAAGGAGTCGTTAGAAGGATTCTCTCGGAACGCCTTAATTATTCTTCTACCTACGCGATTCTAAGGGGAAAAATGTCTCATGTAATAATAAACTCGTTGGCTCAATTGATTGAGCAATGAAAGATCGCGATGGTAGTGGGTACGAATACTGTGTCAATGTTTATATGAGATATTGTGCTTTAATTTTTGACAATTATAATGTTGCAGTGAATGATAATCAAAGTTTCCACACAAATATTGAAAACTAAGTATTACTTGCTAAATATATCGAGAATGTAATTGATGCTTGGAGTAAGCTTGAAATAGTTCCACTCTCGTAGATGACTTTCCTTTTAATGTAATAATTATTTTAATATAATTAAACCACGCCGAGAAAGTGAACAATTGAAAGTCATAATTTTAAGAATCGTATCTTAGGTTTCTTTATAAGAATATTGAAGATTCCATATTTTCATGAGAATAGTATTAAACAATATATATTTTACGCAACAACCAAAACAATTTGTAATAGGAAGCCATAGTTATATGATCCAAGCAATGAATCAGATGTTAAAAATGTATCATAATCTGTTTAACTGCGACATGCAGTACACCTTATGACATAAATATATACACACATTTAATTAAATAATAGATAAATTTCATTATGTTTATATGTATTTTATCTCTTATAAATACTTAAACTGAACCTATAAAATCAATTATCATAATATTTATATTGAGTGATAGCAGATTTTTTGTGGCATCAAGACCAAATATTCCATTGACCTTAGTTATGTTTCATTGTACAATAATAATTGATAAGTCCCTGGTAGTTATTTAAAAGTATTAGCTAATAATTTCTGTCACTAAACAATCTTGATTTATATATATAAAAATGTGTATGTCTAACAACAAATGTTTTTTTGACATAGAAGGTTTTTTCCAGACAGTTCAAGAATAAATGATTTTAGTGTTTTATGTACCATTAAACAATATAGCCACTTAGAAAGAACTTACTCGAAAGTATGTTGCACTTGGCGTTTCCACCTCCAATTTGTTTCTATAGGCTGATAGTAATCTCTCAAAGGGATTACGGACAATTATCATCTTCTGATAGTTTTCCAACATCTCATCTCTCTCCTCATTTGGTACTGAACTGAGATTTCGAAACATTCCTGGAGAATGGGCCAGGTGACCGGGTATAGCCAAGACATCTGTGCCATTCCATTTCCCACTCAGTATCATAAGCAATCTTTTCCAATTAGTACATGCCACCTAAAATAAAATTTATTATTATTAAGTTGTATTAATAATTAGTTCATTAATAACCATAAATAACAACTAAAAACACTATGATATTTATGAATAAATGCATATACAGGTAAATGTGATTATAATAAATCAATTCCATAAGTCAGCACATAATACATTATTTTTGACTTCATTAGAAATAACTTAACAACAAGTAACTAGTAAGACAAGTATAATTACAGTTCGAGCATGCAAATGAGCGATGTACGTAATAACTGTAAGAAGAAATATTTAGAAAAAATACTGACGCGCAAAATTACTGGTTCACCTTGACCATCTCACCTTAGGCACATAGCAGTAGAGTAATTTGCGTTCATCATCGACCAAGATGTGTTCAAGCTGATTCTTAGGTAAATCATCGATAGACCACGTCAAGTGATATCGACTACACCTTTCCTGGATTAATTCTTGCCGCGCCAAGTTCAAGGACTGGGTCAACTCCAAGGAATGTTGCCTATTGACCTCAGTGCTGTCTCCACTCACGCTAAATAAAATGCTCACAAACAACAACAGATATCTGTTCATAAAACGCATCTTAAGCCATTCAATTTTAAGTAAAACTTTCTTTTATAAATCACAACTTTAAATGTAGAGCAGTCACCGGGTTAAATATTAATTGACTTATCACAACCCACTCCCAGGCTTAAATAAAGTTACTTTTAAGTGATAAAAGAAATTTCAATTTTCATTTTATAATTACGATATTTTGAAAGTATAAACTTAAAATTACACGCATAACACATACAATCCCTACGTTTATAAACACCAAACTGAATTTAAGCGGACCGCATTGACATTTGTGGCATTAAATACAATATGACATTGACAGCTAAAGTGTGGTGGATTTGACATTAGTAGAATGAAATAGTGCGCATACAGATAATAGAATCATCTGAAGCATGTAACATTCTCAACACTCCACAACAAGATTTGATAAAATAAAACAAATATTTTAAAGGTAATAATTATATTGAATTCATCAAAACATTGGACAGGTTCATACGTCTGCTTTCACTGATGATAATTGTTGATTTGTAGATAGTTTCTCCGGAATTGTCTTCTGTAATGATTATTACTGTATTCATTTACGATGATTTTTTAAGTTAGTCTCGAAAATAATGTACCTACCCTCAAGTGCTGGATATAAAATACTTGATGATATTGATGAATAAGTGCAAATGCTTCCTCCGCAATGGCTAACTGATTGTGTTGCCACGCGAGTACTGCGAGGCACGCCCATAAGGCTTCATCTTCTACTGTTCGGCACAGCTACACAATGCAAAAAAACAAACAATATCGTAAGGATTTTCGTAAAATGGGAAACTAAGTCGAAGTCAGTTACTAACTTGTAATGCAGCATCCCAGACGTTGCCTTCAATATGTTTTAATAATTTCTCAGGAAAAATGGCGAGTGAAACACGTACTAGGGACCCATTACCGCGGCAAATGCAAACTACCCCCTCTTCAATGCTTGCTATACTCGGGTTTCTACCCAAATCACTAAAATTATATTAATTTTTACTATTTTTTTGGTTTTGTTTTATAACTGCACTATTTTAGTTTAAAAATAAAAATTACGTTATATCCTTGCTAACGGTTGTGAGTGCTACCCAATCAGGTTGAGTTGCAGCGCGTGGACAACACCATGCTACAACGGAGTTCGCTCGTAAGCCTACCAGTAGCTCTGATTCACTGCTCCAACTTATATTCAAGACTTGTGCACCTAAGAATAATATAATTGTAGAAGAAAGCAAAAAATACCAGGATAATAATTTCACATTATTTGTAGTCATAACCTACCCAATTTTAAAAACTTTGGCTTAGCTTCCTTGAACGTCACGACATATAAGTCTCTGTTATAATCCAATAGTGCGATTTGTCTCTCATTTAATGGTCCCGTTTGGCTCAGCGCGATACATGATACGGTCATTTTGTGAGTCAACTTTGTCACAATATTGTCTGTTGAGCTTCGTACAATAAGACCAGTGGGGAGTTCAAATACTTGTATCACTAAAATGAACACTTAAGGTAAGCGAAGTTGCACATAAAAAAATAAAGTTATTAATGTATGATATTTGTTCTTTCTCATAACACCAACGAAAAATTCTACAAAAATTCTTGTCACAAAGACATACAAACCTTTCCTATCAGCATGGTCAATAACGGCCAAAGTATCTGGTCCTAGAGACACAGAGGTCCATCCAACTGTCTCTGGACGGAGTATTCTTGGGCTGGCGAGCAAGCGACCCATATAACTATATATTGACACTCCTGCTCGTTCTATTACGCAGATACACCTGCAATTATGATATTAATACTTAGCATGGCGATTTTTAAAAACTCCAGAATTCCAAAAGAAAACTTTCGAGCCATAAAACAAGTTACTTCCTACTTAAAAAATGTTACCGTCCTTCCATAAAAGATAAGGCCGGTGACATGTTTAGTCAAGGTGTGATCGTCATACCTTTCGGCGAGTAATATCATGCTGATACTACCCTCTTTGAGATCAAAAGTGACAGGAGTATTCCAAGATGTCAACTTATGGATAAAACATTGTTTGACTGTAGCAATCACCAAATAGTTGTAGCCTAGGGCTATCTGAATAACACGATCGGGATAATCAATTTGATCGCTTTGGTCAGAAATAATATCCTTTATCGCAACTACTTTGCGGGTGATTTGTTTGCAAGTGTAGTTTTTCCATGTATATTCCCTGAAAAGAGGTATAGTTAGTCATAGAACAAAGAATAAGTGCCTGATGGAGAATAATTGCCAGATTACCTGTCTATGATATGGGCAAAGAGAACTTGGCCATTAGCACATGCTGCAGCCAACTGGGTACCATCGGAAGACCACGAAATACTAAAGATGCTACCTGTAGATGGTCTATCTAAACAGTAAGAACGCTGTGAATGGTAAACATAGATTAATTTTTTTTTTGTTTCACTTTATTAAAATGATATAATTTACGAACCCCATTTGAATCACAGAGTCTTATTAGATTGAAACTGCCAACGACAAACATATTTCCAGCAGGTGACCAAGTCACACTGGTTAAGGGTTGATCATGCTTCACACTAACATACATAAGCTGCCCAAATGTATCCCAGACCTGCGAAAATAAATCACATATATTGCTATAAATCATTGCTTTGTATGTCTTTAGCAATTCAAATCAGCAGATCAAGAACCTTAGCATATCCATCTTCTCCGCCAGTAATTATTAGATTGTAATTTGGGTTCCAAGCTATGCAGAGAATAAGTCCATCATGTGCCTTCCACTGAAATTAAGGACATTATTAGAAACTTACGTAATTTACAATGTACATATATAAAGAGCTGTTAGAATACTTTCATCATACTTTTGTTACTTTCGTATTAGAGTTTAAGTGCTTGATAACAACATGGTCGCCCTTCGTATAAAGAATTGCCCCACAATCAGGACTCCAACTTGCACTGAAGCATGGTACATCAGATTGTACTATACTAGATCGCAGCAAGCCGTTTCTAGACCAGATTTTAACGCAGCCATCTTCTCCACCTGATCCAGAATGATATAAAATTGATGGTCTCTTATCCCAACTGAAGGTACTCAAAAACAAAACTAATACAAAAGTACTATTTTTAAAGCTTCATTTAAAACTTCCATACCAGTTAAAAGACCTGCACCATCAGGACTCCATTGAGCAGTTAAGCATGCTCCCTGGTGAGCTATAACACTTTTTTCGATCCGCCCATTATGATTAAGAATATGAAACCTGGGAGAAGATAAATCATATAATAGTCTTTAAAAATGACAGAATCATCTCCAAGATTCTATATTGACTTACTTGCCATCAGCAGATGAAATTAAAATGACATCATGTTGATTTTTTATGCCACCTTGGCTTGTTTTTGGAAATAAACTAATTGATGTGGGAAAAAAATCTTCCGTGAAGGTAGTTATAGTCATACATTCGTTGTTTACTAAATTCCATTTCAATAACTTATGATCGTCTCTGTAAAATTTGAGATTCAAGTTACTTAGTAATAAATCATTAAATTGAATATAATATTACGTCTTTACTTACCCACATGAGAAAACATCTTCTGTATTGTTCCAACATACACAGGTAACGATTCCTATGTGTTTAGGTTCTTTAAATGTTGATATTTTTAATTTCATTGTTTTTTAAAGTTTGACTTCTTCTGCCTCAATAAATATCAAATATTGTTTCTATGACAACGATATTTCAAACTGTACTTTTAAAATGCCCGCGAAAGAACAATCTAAGCAGCTCATATTGCAGTGCTATGAATTATTTAGACCACAGTTTATAAAGGTGCAGCTTGTTGTGTTATTTTTAATTTTCTGTTTAAAATAATAAGTTTCGTGGATTTGTATTTATTAGGACTGTAACATTAATCAATAAATGTTTTGACTTTGAAGATATCATTGCCAGTAATCCGTTCTCTCAAAACAAATGTTTGAATATGACAATTGACACCAATGAATTTGAAATATTGAACGTAACAAACATGCCTAATACTGTCTAGGTTAAGTGTGCGAGAAATTCGTAAATTCTGATAAATAATTAATGATACGCAAGGTTCCAAAGCTGAGTGTAAAAATCTGATTATAAATAGGTTATAAATTCAATATTTAAGTACCCGTTCCAAAATTACAATGTGTGACGTTCCTGACTTAAGTTCTGATGAAGAACAGTTCGAGGATGACGAATGGCAAGAAATGGAAGCTAGTAATACAGCAGTGGCATGTTTATTTTGTACCAACACACTTCCATCGATAGATGAAGCGGTGTCGCATTGCGACTCCGTTCACGGTTTTAAGTTAAGTGAACTTAAAATAAAATTCAATATGGATTGCTATTCTTATATTAAACTTATAAACTACATATATATTAATAAAGCGAAACCGGAAGAGATCATGCTATCTGACAAACCATTGTGGGATGACGAAAGATATCTGAAGCCAGTTGACAATCATGAATGGTTAATGTTTGATTTTGACTCTTTAGTAGAAAAACAAAGCTCTCCAAAATCTTACCATGCTAATGTTGAAAATGGTTTAGTAACTTTATCTCAGGCCCATTTCATAGAACTACAAAAGACAATACAAACTCTCACTGAACAGCTGAAAGAAAGCCAAACACACCTTCAAATGGCGAAGGAAGATGTTAATAAAATGCAACTTTCTATGAAGTCTCTAGTTGATAATGGACCTTTGAATTCCGATGAAAGCACATCGGTTGTTGATTGTGTGTCAAAAGTGCCCTTAGAGTGTGATGAAGGCTATTTCAGTAGTTATGCCCATTTTGGTATACATTTTGAAATGCTGTCAGATAAAGTTAGAACTGAAAGCTATAGAGATGCGATACTTAATAATCATGACACATTTAAGGATAAAGTAGTCTTAGATCTTGGTTGTGGAACTGGAATCTTATCAATGTTTGCAGCATCGGCTGGTGCTAAGAAAGTCTATGCTCTTGATCAGTCTGACGTTATTTACCATGCAATGGATATAATAAGAGAAAACAAGTTGGAAAATGTCATTCAAACTGTAAAGGGGAGACTTGAAGACATGAAACTAGAAGAAAATGTTGATATTATTGTGTCTGAGTGGATGGGGTACTTCCTTCTATTTGAAGGCATGTTAGATAGTGTTATTTACGCTAGAAACAAATGCTTAAATTCTGGTGGGTTATTACTACCCAATAAATGTACTATTAGCCTTCTAGCCAATGGTGATGTAGATACTCACAAAGATTTAATAGAATTTTGGTCTAATGTATATGGTTACAAAATGAACTGTATGAAATCTGAAGTAGTAAGGGAAGCTACAATAAGTGTAGTACCCAATGAACATATTTTATCTGACCCATGTGTTATTAAAGAAATAGATATTAATACTTGTACTACAAATGTAATGAATTTTGTATCAGAGTTTAAACTCTTGATAACAAAAGATGGCTTTTTAACATCATTAGTAGGTTATTTTGACACATTCTTTGATCTGCCAGAAAGTGTCTCATTCACTACAGGCCCTCATAAAACTCCAACACACTGGAAACAAACTATATTCTTCTTTAAAGACTGTAAACAAGTTAAGAAGGGTGATATTGTTAAAGGAAAAATAACTTGTGCTAGACAAAAGGGTGATGTTCGCTCGCTGGCTATTGAAATCAGTGTGTTTGGAAAAAATCATAAATATATTCTTAATTAACATAATGCTGTGTACAATTAAATATTGTTAAAGTGCTGTTTTAAAAATGATAATCAACAAGCCTATAAACTGTGATGTATGTTAAATGCACAATGCTTTTTTATAATGGCTAAGTAAATAATATGTACAACCACTAAAATGTTATTATTATTAATTCTAAGGATTATGCTAAGACCTGATTGGTTATAAAATTCATATAGTACATATAATCATTTGTTACCATAAAATAATTCCTATTAATTAAAAATAAGAACCTTATAATATTAATAAACCATATAAATTAAGTTCCCTCTTGTGTAAAACGAAATAAAACTCACAATTCTACTATATATTTTATTAAAATGTTTCTATATTAATTGGTTAATTAATGAAACTATTTTAGTTTAGCTTAGCATATTTGCGATAAAATAAAATCAGAATTTTGTTACTAAGGTATCCTTACATTATGCTGAATAAGGCTTTGCTTCGTATAAGTATATTTGGAATGGGAATAAAGAAATATGTTATCAATGTTTTTTTATTATCATCAGTTAGATAAATTAAAAAATAACTTAAGGGCAATTTTAAGTCTTGTTCGTATTACTTCAATTTATAAAACATTTGATAAAATAGCATTTGCGTAAATTTGCATTGGCTTTGCTAACAGGCGTCAATAATAACACTATAATATTATGAACTATTGTCATAACCTAAAAAACAAAAAGTCGACTAGAAGTAGGTACTTTTTTTTATTGAGATAGGAAAGTACAGTTATTAAATTATTTAAAACAAGGTTCATTGTGTATGTCATGTAACTTAATGCGAAAGTAAAGATGATTCCAGTGAAGTATAATTTATTGAATCTAAAAACTACATTTATAAAGCTATGTCCCGATTAAAATGGCGCTCGTTATGTACACAGAATCAATCCACTATTTATATTAATACAATCTATGTATCTAAATGTACATTATATGTTATTCTAGCAAGATAATATATTGTTAAGTAAATATATATTTTATATAAAAAGATCTATTGTAAATTTCCTCTACGATAAGCGTCACCAGTTGGATTATATCTATTCTTACCTTCCCTGGATTTACAAGGGACCTAATTAATGTGATTTAGGTTTGATTTGATATTCAAAGGCGTGGTCCCACGTAATTTAAACATTTGGAAATCAATTACGAAAATTTTGCATAACGGAAAGTAATGAATAAAAAAATATTTAGTCCATGCCGCATATTTGAACCTGGCTTAGCTATGAAGTTTATTCGTACTAAATTTAATAATACGACATAGTATTCAAATAAAATTGTTTATGGTACAACGTCAGTGGTTTGAGCTTTTCGGGCGTTATGATGAAAAATTTGTTTTTGATATTTCAACACGAGTGGACGACATCACGAGATGTTGCCTTCCACTCGACTAAAATCGCTTCAAACAGCTCGAAAACCCAAAAAACTGTACGTGAAAGCCTTATACAATGTTATACTGTTATGTTATTTTAATAAAAAAGTAAATCAATTAAATTTTAGGAATAGGCTGTCATAATCAAATCTGGGTTATTTTCTCAAACACATAGATATTTCAACACCTATAGGTAGAATATATAGAATTATTTATTAATTAAAGAGAACAGACTATTCATTAAAATAATACATATGTTATATTTATACTTTACAATACATTTCTATAAGGTGAATAATATACATTTAGAAATGATTTGGTCAAGGAGTATCATTAGTTACAATCAAAAACATTAAAATTAATAAGCGTATTTTTCATATGAAATAAGTTACTAGTTTATCTATAATAATTCTATAATACATAGTATTGGCTCAAGGTACTACTAGAGAGCGTATCAATTATTACAATAAAATTTGCTCCGAAACCAGCGACTCTTCGATTCAATAACCCTTAAATAATTACTACTTAGATATGACACGTTAATAATTATTCGTAAAAATATGTTTGTCTTTTATTTAAAAACTAGTTCTTCGATAAAATGGAATCTATTATTTTACACAGAACCGCAAAGTAAAGATATTATAAACTATCGCTTATTGATTGCATTACGTGGGTAATTTCAGTATAATGTGTTTTAATTTGAATCTACCTTATTTTATTTTCATTTTTTAACTGACTACAGAAAAAAATCTTGTTTGAATATGGAATATACTTGCAACTCTTTGATAAATGAAGTACCTTGTTATATGAAATTACTCCAAAGCTAAACAGCCTATTGTGTAATTAATAAAAACTTAATTAATATTTTAAATTGAAGACAGATGAAGTCTAAGCTGTTGTTTTGATAGTCAAAGTCACTGATGGACAGTCTAGACTCTAGAGTTACTAACTCTATCACTGAACGGTTATTTCAACATATATTCCTATATTATAGCTGAAAATTACATCTGATTATAGGCGTTACGTATTAATTACTGAAGACTGGAAACAATATCTAATCGATAGAATGTTTTAAAAGTAAAGACTTGTATTTACAATAGATTTGTAAAATAATATGCTTAATATTTAATATACAAAATGATAATCTAAAATACATAAATAATTTATTACGAAGTGATTTAAAAACAGACGAGGCCTGCTCGTCAACATAATAAGGTATTTTCTATTCAAATACACATACATTTAACAAGTACTTTTAAATAAATAGTGAGTAACCTTTCAAATGAAGTGTTGCTATCTACAAAAATAAATTTATAAATAATATTGCCATTTATATTTTTGTCTACATATTTAATTATTTGATAAATAAAGGGATTTGAACTAGTGACGTAGCGACTTTTTATCTCTTTGACTATTGTATCTCGCCTATCACTTGTTCTTTTCTAAAATACTGAAGGTATTTAATATATCCCGCCCCGCGGAATATATTCTAGTCAATTACAACTCACTACATTGTCTTCCAAAGAGAATTTATACAATTACATTATTTTAACTTACTTTAGAACAGGTTTTGTTTGTTCTTCTTTAAGTTGTTACACGCTAGAAGATATTTTACACAGTAGTACAGATTGAAATAACATTTTTAACGGGCTATAACGCGATATATAGTTAACTTATTTTTATGTTAACTACGGTCTGACTTTTCGGAAGTTTTGCAGCGGCCGTCCCACCGTGGCCATGTTTTAAACCGTTAAAAGTGTTTTATTTAAATTATATTGCACACAATATTTGATGTCATGGATTTACAGTTGCAAAGCCTGTCTTATAATTAACTTTGTGCGTATACAACGATAAGCCTGAAGCTACACACTTTCATTAACTATAATAGATAGGAATGGAAGGATCTCTTTTTTAGAAGACTAACATTGACATCAGAACACAAACTAATTATTATGAGATTCACTGTCAAGTAGTTGAAACTTCTGAGCCGTGCCCGGCCGAAGCCGACGTCCTAGACAATACGTTCAACTATTCAGCCGAATTGTTGTTTTTATATTACAAGGACATTTATTTGGTAACGTTATTTTCACCTACCAGATGAGATCGCTTTTTGTTAGAGGGCGACATATACATATCATATACTCTATGTTGGTATTATCTAATTTATTTAGTGTCCTTGTGGAATAGCGAATGTAACATGTTGTAACAGCCGTGCCGGACGCTATTTACAAGTGTGGCTAAATATTATTCATCCGGCTGTTGTGGTGGTGCACCGTTGGACTCTTCTTCCAACCTGGCTCTGTCTTCAGCGTCTGGAAAGGTATTCACTTCATAAATGCAAAAACAAAAATGAGAGTCATGGCAGACGTATGTCTGAGTCGTTGGAAGGAAATACCCCAGCCATATAGCATCTAACTGCTTACACGCTGTCGACCAACGTTGGCTTGGGATATAAGGTTAGTTATTATTAAAACTCTAGTGTTTCTTTCTAGTTTCTCTGGATTCGAATTCAGAACATCTTGGGCTTAATGCGTTTGCCTTTTATGTAAGCCACGGAGGCGGTTATTTCAATGTTCTTGTGTCCAGCTTATGGATAAAAATTCATTCTATTTTAAATCGTATCGACCAAAGATATCAAAACAATGAAAGTTACCTTTTGCTGCTTGTTCTTTCCAAATCTTCTTGTTGTCCATAAGGCAAGCAACCCAAGGTTTCTTTATTTTGAATTTTGTTAATTCTGCGACTGTAATTAAAATAATTTTCATAAGTCTTGCGTTAACTAAAGAAAGAATATAAACGTGTTTTAAAGAATTATACATTTATGACACAGGAGGGATGAGAAGCAGTAGAGAACGGCGTTCTTCTTGGATATTTACTTTTATTTTCTACATACAATCGAAATAATGGTATAGTATACATAAGTAATATAATTTTTAATTTTGACTGAAAAACACTTGTGGCTTCGAAACCTCCTGTACCATATTATTTTATTAATAAACACATTTTTAATTAAATACAGCTTTTAATATAATAACGAAAGTCTTACCCCCACTGTCTTCACTTATAGAGTCGTGACCAGCTGTACTAGACGAATTCTTTGTGTTAGAATGCAAAGGACCCAGAATACATTCCAACATATCGGCACATACCCCCATACTGGGTTCCACAATGAAATCGATGAATCCAATCTGAGATTCAGCTACAAGCGTGTTGTTCCTATCACAAAGAGGACTGAATGGAAGACCGAGTTCCCTCTCCTTGTCTCCTTGCAAGAAGAATTCATCCAGAAGGCTCATAGTCCATCGATGGTGGAGGTCCCATCTCTGTAAGATAAGTATATTTTAAATAACTTATATTATTTTTAGACGTACTAGGAAAAGTTAAATATTTGTATGGCAAACGAATTTCTTAAGACTTGGGTATTTTTTAGCTCAAAACATTAAGAATATTGTTTGCGAAAACAGGTTTAATAAATTAGTACTTATTTTTTAGGTTTACTTACAATGACTTTTTTTAGGTTTAAATATCTTTTTAGAAGTAATTACGATGATGTCGAACAGGAACTTAGGACTTTAAAGTTTAGAAATCGGACCAAGTCCGAAATTAGACGGTTTAGAGGTCTAAGCTTTTAGGGTATAGAAAAAAAATACTGTAAGTATCGATTTTAGTAACTCTATTTTTTTGTTTTCATAACTGCTCCATAATTAACATTCGTTTGTAGGTTACTTGACCACTAATAGACTAGAGTACATTTCAAGTTTAAAGTCATTTCAGCACCTTAGCTGGATGGGAGATATCACAGCAATGCAGCACGAGTGAAACGGCTTTGGATTTGTCCACAGCAGGTTCAGCGAGCGAGAGAAGAGACCTCATGTTCTTCAACTGTTGAAAGTGGAAGGACATATCCGTAGCTAACACCATGTCGATCACCAGCGTACGGAACTCACGGAACTCGTCTCGTGAGAGATTTAGCAGGATATTGTTCTCTTCTTCTTTAATCAACCTGTAACATATGTCTTTATAGAGATTCCTGTGTTTTTTCTTCTATAACTTGTCACAACTCTTAATATATAATTAATGTATCTTATTGAATAATGTAACTTTCACACGATTATTATTGTAATATAGTGTATGTATGTAAGCAATTATTTCAAAACAGTTTCCGAATCAAAAAAATATTTGCATTCGTAAAAGTCGTTTGTAAGTTTGTTCTAGCGAATTTTTAAGCTAGTAACATTTTGTTAACCAAATATAGTGCTCACAATAACGTACTTATTTTGCAGTAGCTTAATTAATTGAAATCAAACCGTCAAATTGTAATATAGAATTCGAATGAACGCAAGCGATCATAAGTCACAACTTAAGTGTTTACGCGAGTAGTACTCCTTTAAATAAAACACTTTAAACGGTTTAAAACGAGAAATGTTTCAGTTAAGCTTATTTAACAATTTATTCATTATGTTAACTACTGCCCGTCGTTTTGGATGGTTTGCAGCATCCGTGGTCACGTGGTGACCGGGTCGTTAATACGTTATACATGTCGTATTTTTACCTGTTAAAAGTGTTTTATTTAAAAGTTATATTTTATTATATGTGGATTGATTGTCAAATAGACCATTTTCGAATTTTGGTTAAACGTTTGGTAACTGGCCGGATTCGGATAAATAAAGTTAAAGGAAAAGGTGACGTTAGGTATACGTACTAAGGTCAAGCCTAATCTATTTTAGGTTGATCTAAATGTCAGTCAGTCGATTGACAGCGGATAATTGGGACCTTTCGAGCTATAACTAATTAAACGTCAGTTAGTACATTTTGCTAAACTGAATTTATACGTCCACAGTATTTACAGCAAGAAGTTTTTTCGTTAAACGTACCATTTCAGCAACTTGCTTCATGAATTAATATAAGTTTTGAGAAGTCTTCAGTAATATATTACCTACTGTCTGTAGTATACGCGAGAAGTACACATTTAAATAAAAAAAAGTAACGGTTTAAAACGCGATTATTTGTACCGCCAATTACCGACTTTGACGGAACAGATGGCGCTAGCGTAGCAGGATATATTTGACATCATAGACACCATCTTTAGTCTCTTCGTGTACACAGATGCTGCAAAGCATCAGAATTGTAGGGCCGTAGTTAAACTAATTTTCAAATAAGTTTAACTTATATACATATATCGCGTTTTAAACCATTTTATTTAAAAGTTTTACGTAGAAAATTAAATTTTAATAGATTTTAAATAAAATTTGTGTATAAATAATTTCGAAGCCGTTTTTACCGTACAATGTTAAAATATCGTTCGACAAATTTAATTAAAATCACGATAAAGTTTAATTATTTACATAACTTTGTAAGACCGTGGAGTTTCAATGATTTCCGTCGCTTTTCTTTGCTCTTAGTTTCCAAATTAATAATGATTATCATTTCAAAGGCTGCTTCGATTACATTCGTATTCAGTATTCCGCAATGTCGCATAAATTATTTATTAATTCAAGCCCGAAGCCTGGAAGACGCGATTTATATTATAATGACGAGACAACATTTCGTTTCGGGGTTAGACTGATGGATGGCGGAATGACGCGTGGAAATAGCTTGCATTATCTTTTTGGAGAAAAGTGGTTTTAGTGTAGCGAAATCTATTTACCTATTTTTAGATCGCATACTAGGATGAAGGTTTGAAAACTACAAACCGTTCGACATGTTTTATGCTCACGAAGAGCTTTTGTTTTTTTTACGAGGATTTAAAATCTAGCTCACTTTATTTTTATAAAATGTATTTAGCCTATAGGCTACATCGAAATGTCGTCCGATTCACAAACCACCGTTCGCAAAAAAAGTTGTGAAGTTTAATCGCGTTTCGGTTTCAGTCTGTGGTTTTCCGAATATCAAAAGCCAAAATGGGTCGACCGCGCATCTTGTTTAGATGCTATAGGCTGGGGTATTTCACCTACCATCAAGTATACCCCTTGCTGGTTTTCCCTACTCTATCAATAAAAAAACATACATTTTTTAGAAACGATTTGTTATAACGTGGAGACCTGACCACGGCTGCTGCAAAGCATCCGAAACGTCGAGCCGAAGTTAAAATTAATTTTTTAATAAGTTTAACTAATATATCGCCTTTATAACCGTTAAAGTGTTTTATTTAAATGTGTACTACTCGCGTAAACTATATATATTTAACGTGGAATTTAACAATCCGTTACTTATAGTCGCCTACGTATTTTAGGTTGTAGAAAATATAGATCTACCGTGATAGACCAAACTTAAGAGTTTACATGTAGTATAATTTGTCAAATTCTAAAAAATCGATAGTATTGTCTGAGGATAATGTACAGATCAAGCAGTAAACTAATTTCAATATATACATCTCAATGCTAATTTTCTCGTGAATTTCAAAGGAAGCTCTTGTTAATATTCATTGTTACAGCCACGCGAACGTGTATCAATTTGTTTGCTTAAATATTAAATTTAATACCCCCATCAGAATACTCTTGGATTATAAAACCTATTGATGTCATATATGGTTATATGGTTACAAAATGAACTGTATGAAATCTGAAGTAGTAAGGGAAGCTACAATAAGTGTAGTACCCAATGAACATATTTTATCTGACCCATGTGTTATTAAAGAAATAGATATTAATACTTGTACTACAAATGTAATGAATTTTGTATCAGAGTTTAAACTCTTGATAACAAAAGATGGCTTTTTAACATCATTAGTAGGTTATTTTGACACATTCTTTGATCTGCCAGAAAGTGTCTCATTCACTACAGGCCCTCATAAAACTCCAACACACTGGAAACAAACTATATTCTTCTTTAAAGACTGTAAACAAGTTAAGAAGGGTGATATTGTTAAAGGAAAAATAACTTGTGCTAGACAAAAGGGTGATGTTCGCTCGCTGGCTATTGAAATCAGTGTGTTTGGAAAAAATCATAAATATATTCTTAATTAACATAATGCTGTGTACAATTAAATATTGTTAAAGTGCTGTTTTAAAAATGATAATCAACAAGCCTATAAACTGTGATGTATGTTAAATGCACAATGCTTTTTTATAATGGCTAAGTAAATAATATGTACAACCACTAAAATGTTATTATTATTAATTCTAAGGATTATGCTAAGACCTGATTGGTTATAAAATTCATATAGTACATATAATCATTTGTTACCATAAAATAATTCCTATTAATTAAAAATAAGAACCTTATAATATTAATAAACCATATAAATTAAGTTCCCTCTTGTGTAAAACGAAATAAAACTCACAATTCTACTATATATTTTATTAAAATGTTTCTATATTAATTGGTTAATTAATGAAACTATTTTAGTTTAGCTTAGCATATTTGCGATAAAATAAAATCAGAATTTTGTTACTAAGGTATCCTTACATTATGCTGAATAAGGCTTTGCTTCGTATAAGTATATTTGGAATGGGAATAAAGAAATATGTTATCAATGTTTTTTTATTATCATCAGTTAGATAAATTAAAAAATAACTTAAGGGCAATTTTAAGTCTTGTTCGTATTACTTCAATTTATAAAACATTTGATAAAATAGCATTTGCGTAAATTTGCATTGGCTTTGCTAACAGGCGTCAATAATAACACTATAATATTATGAACTATTGTCATAACCTAAAAAACAAAAAGTCGACTAGAAGTAGGTACTTTTTTTTATTGAGATAGGAAAGTACAGTTATTAAATTATTTAAAACAAGGTTCATTGTGTATGTCATGTAACTTAATGCGAAAGTAAAGATGATTCCAGTGAAGTATAATTTATTGAATCTAAAAACTACATTTATAAAGCTATGTCCCGATTAAAATGGCGCTCGTTATGTACACAGAATCAATCCACTATTTATATTAATACAATCTATGTATCTAAATGTACATTATATGTTATTCTAGCAAGATAATATATTGTTAAGTAAATATATATTTTATATAAAAAGATCTATTGTAAATTTCCTCTACGATAAGCGTCACCAGTTGGATTATATCTATTCTTACCTTCCCTGGATTTACAAGGGACCTAATTAATGTGATTTAGGTTTGATTTGATATTCAAAGGCGTGGTCCCACGTAATTTAAACATTTGGAAATCAATTACGAAAATTTTGCATAACGGAAAGTAATGAATAAAAAAATATTTAGTCCATGCCGCATATTTGAACCTGGCTTAGCTATGAAGTTTATTCGTACTAAATTTAATAATACGACATAGTATTCAAATAAAATTGTTTATGGTACGTCAGTGGTTTGAGCTTTTCGGGCGTTATGATGAAAAATTTGTTTTTGATATTTCAACACGAGTGGACGACATCACGAGATGTTGTCCACTCGACTAAAATCGCTTCAAACAGCTCGAAAACCCAAAAAACTGTACGTGAAAGCCTTATACAATGTTATACTGTTATGTTATTTTAATAAAAAAGTAAATCAATTAAATTTTAGGAATAGGCTGTCATAATCAAATCTGGGTTATTTTCTCAAACACATAGATATTTCAACACCTATAGGTAGAATATATAGAATTATTTATTAATTAAAGAGAACAGACTATTCATTAAAATAATACATATGTTATATTTATACTTTACAATACATTTCTATAAGGTGAATAATATACATTTAGAAATGATTTGGTCAAGGAGTATCATTAGTTACAATCAAAAACATTAAAATTAATAAGCGTATTTTTCATATGAAATAAGTTACTAGTTTATCTATAATAATTCTATAATACATAGTATTGGCTCAAGGTACTACTAGAGAGCGTATCAATTATTACAATAAAATTTGCTCCGAAACCAGCGACTCTTCGATTCAATAACCCTTAAATAATTACTACTTAGATATGACACGTTAATAATTATTCGTAAAAATATGTTTGTCTTTTATTTAAAAACTAGTTCTTCGATAAAATGGAATCTATTATTTTACACAGAACCGCAAAGTAAAGATATTATAAACTATCGCTTATTGATTGCATTACGTGGGTAATTTCAAATGCGTTTTAATTTGAATCTACCTTATTTTATTTTCATTTTTTAACTGACTACAGAAAAAAATCTTGTTTGAATATGGAATATACTTGCAACTCTTTGATAAATGAAGTACCTTGTTATATGAAATTACTCCAAAGCTAAACAGCCTATTGTGTAATTAATAAAAACTTAATTAATATTTTAAATTGAAGACAGATGAAGTCTAAGCTGTTGTTTTGATAGTCAAAGTCACTGATGGACAGTCTAGACTCTAGAGTTACTAACTCTATCACTGAACGGTTATTTCAACATATATTCCTATATTATAGCTGAAAATTACATCTGATTATAGGCGTTACGTATTAATTACTGAAGACTGGAAACAATATCTAATCGATAGAATGTTTTAAAAGTAAAGACTTGTATTTACAATAGATTTGTAAAATAATATGCTTAATATTTAATATACAAAATGATAATCTAAAATACATAAATAATTTATTACGAAGTGATTTAAAAACAGACGAGGCCTGCTCGTCAACATAATAAGGTATTTTCTATTCAAATACACATACATTTAACAAGTACTTTTAAATAAATAGTGAGTAACCTTTCAAATGAAGTGTTGCTATCTACAAAAATAAATTTATAAATAATATTGCCATTTATATTTTTGTCTACATATTTAATTATTTGATAAATAAAGGGATTTGAACTAGTGACGTAGCGACTTTTTATCTCTTTGACTATTGTATCTCGCCTATCACTTGTTCTTTTCTAAAATACTGAAGGTATTTAATATATCCCGCCCCGCGGAATATATTCTAGTCAATTACAACTCACTACATTGTCTTCCAAAGAGAATTTATACAATTACATTATTTTAACTTACTTTAGAACAGGTTTTGTTTGTTCTTCTTTAAGTTGTTACACGCTAGAAGATATTTTACACAGTAGTACAGATTGAAATAACATTTTTAACGGGCTATAACGCGATATATAGTTAACTTATTTTTATGTTAACTACGGTCTGACTTTTCGGAAGTTTTGCAGCGGCCGTCCCACCGTGGCCATGTTTTAAACCGTTAAAAGTGTTTTATTTAAATTATATTGCACACAATATTTGATGTCATGGATTTACAGTTGCAAAGCCTGTCTTATAATTAACTTTGTGCGTATACAACGATAAGCCTGAAGCTACACACTTTCATTAACTATAATAGATAGGAATGGAAGGATCTCTTTTTTAGAAGACTAACATTGACATCAGAACACAAACTAATTATTATGAGATTCACTGTCAAGTAGTTGAAACTTCTGAGCCGTGCCCGGCCGAAGCCGACGTCCTAGACAATACGTTCAACTATTCAGCCGAATTGTTGTTTTTATATTACAAGGACATTTATTTGGTAACGTTATTTTCACCTACCAGATGAGATCGCTTTTTGTTAGAGGGCGACATATACATATCATATACTCTATGTTGGTATTATCTAATTTATTTAGTGTCCTTGTGGAATAGCGAATGTAACATGTTGTAACAGCCGTGCCGGACGCTATTTACAAGTGTGGCTAAATATTATTCATCCGGCTGTTGTGGTGGTGCACCGTTGGACTCTTCTTCCAACCTGGCTCTGTCTTCAGCGTCTGGAAAGGTATTCACTTCATAAATGCAAAAACAAAAATGAGAGTCATGGCAGACGTATGTCTGAGTCGTTGGAAGGAAATACCCCAGCCATATAGCATCTAACTGCTTACACGCTGTCGACCAACGTTGGCTTGGGATATAAGGTTAGTTATTATTAAAACTCTAGTGTTTCTTTCTAGTTTCTCTGGATTCGAATTCAGAACATCTTGGGCTTAATGCGTTTGCCTTTTATGTAAGCCACGGAGGCGGTTATTTCAATGTTCTTGTGTCCAGCTTATGGATAAAAATTCATTCTATTTTAAATCGTATCGACCAAAGATATCAAAACAATGAAAGTTACCTTTTGCTGCTTGTTCTTTCCAAATCTTCTTGTTGTCCATAAGGCAAGCAACCCAAGGTTTCTTTATTTTGAATTTTGTTAATTCTGCGACTGTAATTAAAATAATTTTCATAAGTCTTGCGTTAACTAAAGAAAGAATATAAACGTGTTTTAAAGAATTATACATTTATGACACAGGAGGGATGAGAAGCAGTAGAGAACGGCGTTCTTCTTGGATATTTACTTTTATTTTCTACATACAATCGAAATAATGGTATAGTATACATAAGTAATATAATTTTTAATTTTGACTGAAAAACACTTGTGGCTTCGAAACCTCCTGTACCATATTATTTTATTAATAAACACATTTTTAATTAAATACAGCTTTTAATATAATAACGAAAGTCTTACCCCCACTGTCTTCACTTATAGAGTCGTGACCAGCTGTACTAGACGAATTCTTTGTGTTAGAATGCAAAGGACCCAGAATACATTCCAACATATCGGCACATACCCCCATACTGGGTTCCACAATGAAATCGATGAATCCAATCTGAGATTCAGCTACAAGCGTGTTGTTCCTATCACAAAGAGGACTGAATGGAAGACCGAGTTCCCTCTCCTTGTCTCCTTGCAAGAAGAATTCATCCAGAAGGCTCATAGTCCATCGATGGTGGAGGTCCCATCTCTGTAAGATAAGTATATTTTAAATAACTTATATTATTTTTAGACGTACTAGGAAAAGTTAAATATTTGTATGGCAAACGAATTTCTTAAGACTTGGGTATTTTTTAGCTCAAAACATTAAGAATATTGTTTGCGAAAACAGGTTTAATAAATTAGTACTTATTTTTTAGGTTTACTTACAATGACTTTTTTTAGGTTTAAATATCTTTTTAGAAGTAATTACGATGATGTCGAACAGGAACTTAGGACTTTAAAGTTTAGAAATCGGACCAAGTCCGAAATTAGACGGTTTAGAGGTCTAAGCTTTTAGGGTATAGAAAAAAAATACTGTAAGTATCGATTTTAGTAACTCTATTTTTTTGTTTTCATAACTGCTCCATAATTAACATTCGTTTGTAGGTTACTTGACCACTAATAGACTAGAGTACATTTCAAGTTTAAAGTCATTTCAGCACCTTAGCTGGATGGGAGATATCACAGCAATGCAGCACGAGTGAAACGGCTTTGGATTTGTCCACAGCAGGTTCAGCGAGCGAGAGAAGAGACCTCATGTTCTTCAACTGTTGAAAGTGGAAGGACATATCCGTAGCTAACACCATGTCGATCACCAGCGTACGGAACTCACGGAACTCGTCTCGTGAGAGATTTAGCAGGATATTGTTCTCTTCTTCTTTAATCAACCTGTAACATATGTCTTTATAGAGATTCCTGTGTTTTTTCTTCTATAACTTGTCACAACTCTTAATATATAATTAATGTATCTTATTGAATAATGTAACTTTCACACGATTATTATTGTAATATAGTGTATGTATGTAAGCAATTATTTCAAAACAGTTTCCGAATCAAAAAAATATTTGCATTCGTAAAAGTCGTTTGTAAGTTTGTTCTAGCGAATTTTTAAGCTAGTAACATTTTGTTAACCAAATATAGTGCTCACAATAACGTACTTATTTTGCAGTAGCTTAATTAATTGAAATCAAACCGTCAAATTGTAATATAGAATTCGAATGAACGCTGATGATATATGAAGCGATCATAAGTTACAACTTAAGTGCTGTCCGTTGTTTACGCGAGTAGTACTCCTTTAAATAAAACACTTTAAACGGTTTAAAACGAGAAATGTTTCAGTTAAGCTTATTTAACAATTTATTCATTATGTTAACTACTGCCCGTCGTTTTGGATGGTTTGCAGCATCCGTGGTCACGTGGTGACCGGGTCGTTAATACGTTATACATGTCGTATTTTTACCTGTTAAAAGTGTTTTATTTAAAAGTTATATTTTATTATATGTGGATTGATTGTCAAATAGACCATTTTCGAATTTTGGTTAAACGTTTGGTAACTGGCCGGATTCGGATAAATAAAGTTAAAGGAAAAGGTGACGTTAGGTATACGTACTAAGGTCAAGCCTAATCTATTTTAGGTTGATCTAAATGTCAGTCAGTCGATTGACAGCGGATAATTGGGACCTTTCGAGCTATAACTAATTAAACGTCAGTTAGTACATTTTGCTAAACTGAATTTATACGTCCACAGTATTTACAGCAAGAAGTTTTTTCGTTAAACGTACCATTTCAGCAACTTGCTTCATGAATTAATATAAGTTTTGAGAAGTCTTCAGTAATATATTACCTACTGTCTGTAGTATACGCGAGAAGTACACATTTAAATAAAAAAAAGTAACGGTTTAAAACGCGATTATTTGTACCGCCAATTACCGACTTTGACGGAACAGATGGCGCTAGCGTAGCAGGATATATTTGACATCATAGACACCATCTTTAGTCTCTTCGTGTACACAGATGCTGCAAAGCATCAGAATTGTAGGGCCGTAGTTAAACTAATTTTCAAATAAGTTTAACTTATATACATATATCGCGTTTTAAACCATTTTATTTAAAAGTTTTACGTAGAAAATTAAATTTTAATAGATTTTAAATAAAATTTGTGTATAAATAATTTCGAAGCCGTTTTTACCGTACAATGTTAAAATATCGTTCGACAAATTTAATTAAAATCACGATAAAGTTTAATTATTTACATAACTTTGTAAGACCGTGGAGTTTCAATGATTTCCGTCGCTTTTCTTTGCTCTTAGTTTCCAAATTAATAATGATTATCATTTCAAAGGCTGCTTCGATTACATTCGTATTCAGTATTCCGCAATGTCGCATAAATTATTTATTAATTCAAGCCCGAAGCCTGGAAGACGCGATTTATATTATAATGACGAGACAACATTTCGTTTCGGGGTTAGACTGATGGATGGCGGAATGACGCGTGGAAATAGCTTGCATTATCTTTTTGGAGAAAAGTGGTTTTAGTGTAGCGACGAAATCTATTTACCTATTTTTAGATCGCATACTAGGATGAAGGTTTGAAAACTACAAACCGTTCGACATGTTTTATGCTCACGAAGAGCTTTTGTTTTTTTTACGAGGATTTAAAATCTAGCTCACTTTATTTTTATAAAATGTATTTAGCCTATAGCTACTCAAATGTCGTCCGATTCACAAACCACCGTTCGCAAAAAAAGTTGTGAAGTTTAATCGCGTTTCGGTTTCAGTCTGTGGTTTTCCGAATATCAAAAGCCAAAATGGGTCGACCGCGCATCTTGTTTAGATGCTATAGGCTGGGGTATTTCACCTACCATCAAGTATACCCCTTGCTGGTTTTCCCTACTCTATCAATAAAAAAACATACATTTTTTAGAAACGATTTGTTATAACGTGGAGACCTGACCACGGCTGCTGCAAAGCATCCGAAACGTCGAGCCGAAGTTAAAATTAATTTTTTAATAAGTTTAACTAATATATCGCCTTTATAACCGTTAAAGTGTTTTATTTAAATGTGTACTACTCGCGTAAACTATATATATTTAACGTGGAATTTAACAATCCGTTACTTATAGTCGCCTACGTATTTTAGGTTGTAGAAAATATAGATCTACCGTGATAGACCAAACTTAAGAGTTTACATGTAGTATAATTTGTCAAATTCTAAAAAATCGATAGTATTGTCTGAGGATAATGTACAGATCAAGCAGTAAACTAATTTCAATATATACATCTCAATGCTAATTTTCTCGTGAATTTCAAAGGAAGCTCTTGTTAATATTCATTGTTACAGCCACGCGAACGTGTATCAATTTGTTTGCTTAAATATTAAATTTAATACCCCCATCAGAATACTCTTGGATTATAAAACCTATTGATGTCGAACTGAAATATATACCTGAGACACTTTGCCTTTTCATTAAAATAATATTGTGGTAAAGATGAATTTGTGGAATTAACTGAATTATTATTTATTTAAATGATAGATCTCGTAACATAAATGCCGATAGAGCGTAATAAATTTGATTTTAGCGCACAGTGTTAAAAGTAGCAAGCGAACCTCGGGGGAAATTACATTGTTACAAAAATTCGGTCCTTTCCCCCATTCTATCTCATATCCAAGACATTCGTAAATATTATTTTCACTAACAAGTGAGTTAAGTGAAAACTACTTAGTTTCTCCCTTGTATGTATTTTATACAAAGTATTGCTTTTCTAACTATTTTTGTAGCTCCAACTGACAGTACAAATTTTTGATTGAATATAGGCCTTATATCTCTACTTATAATTTTTAAAACCTTTCCTAAAAACCTTGCTAGTACGTGATGATACCATACATAATCCGTATATAACACAAAATAGGAGTACTAATAAATTTAAAAAAAACACTTTAAATGACGGAACAGATGGCGGAAACAGAAAGATTTTTTTTTTTTTTTGGGTGTTTTTTTTTTTCCCCCCCCCCCCCCCCCCCCCCCCCCCCCCCCCCCCCCCCCCCCCCCCCCCCCCCTCCCCCAAAAAAAAAAAAAAAAAATTTTTTTTTTTTTTTCCCCAAAAACAAAAACCCCCCCCCCCCCCCCCCCCCCCCCCCCTTATTTGGCATTAAAAAGTAGCCTATGTCCTTTCTCAGGCTCTAAAATATCTATGTACCAAATTTCATTTAAATCAGTTTAGTAATTTCGGAGTTAAAGCCGTAAACAGACAGAATTACTTTGGCATTTAGAATATTAGTATAGAAGTATAGATATTTGTATCATACCTAAAAGCAGCACTTATATGATGATTTTCCAGGACAGCTCGGTCGTTGTAGAGCAGTGCTGTATCTGAACCGGACATCACGTGGAAATTGTTGGTGGTGCCAGTATGCTCGAAGTCATGAACGATAGCCGCCACAAGGGTCGCGAAGATTTCCAAGTCTGATAACCAGTTCTACAAGCAAAACATCAATCATTTATATATATAAGCCACATAGATTATACAAACCATGAAAAAATAGCACTTAGCACGTGATTCTTGAAAAAAAATATATGTACCAGTTCCTATAAACATATATTTTGTTTTGTTTTCATAGGAAAGTAGTAAGACTTTTAAATTAAAACAATTTAACGGTATAAAAAACGCGGAATATAACGGTATAATAAATTTAATTAATATTTAAATATGTATTTACTACTCGCGTAAACTACAGATATTTAATGGGTTTTTATTTATTTTTACGCCACAGTAGCATACATTCAAATTAGTTTATATAAAAAATAATAAAGTGACATTTGGTAGAATATATTATATCTGCCACAAAGTATAAGAATAAACATTGGGAAATACGCTTGAAGGAAAGTAAGTGTTCAAAGTCCGACCACGACGTAAGACCTCACTTGAGTCGAGTCCAGTTCTGTAAACTTTACCCAATTGATGCTTTGGATTATTGCCAATGCAATCTAACTGTTGAGTGAACTACGTATTGACTATTTATCGAAAGAATTAGCTCTACAGCTCTGTGAAAATACAGCTTACTTAAAAGCTTTGAACGCGAAACGGGGAAATTAAAAATTGTACATTAAAACCATTAGTTAGCGATGTCTATATTTGTGTTTGCCTAATGCCAATCTGTACATCTATTCATTATCTATACACATATTGTGTCTGTAGCTATCTGTAGAGAGGGTTCGAATTCTGGGGAAACAATAGATAAATGGACACATAAATGTGTTTGCCCCATGCCCCGCGAGAGGAAACGGGATCTTATAAAAATATCAGATAATATGTCTGTTTAAAGGGCAAAAATGTGACCCGAAATACCTGCTACCCAAAACCTAAGGATACCAAATGTTCACAGTAAAACTAAACTTTCCGACGCCAGAGCGGGTGTCCAGTAAAAGAAAATTAATACTTTCACACGGTAGAATAAAGAAGTTTCAAAAATTAATTTTATGATGCCTTTGTTCAAATTACTCTGTTTCTGTGCGTTTATACTTTTTAGCAGTTCTTTATAAATACATTTTTTTTAATATTCAAACAATAAACTGTGATCGTGCTTAACTGTTTATGTAGGTATTCCGAAATTTACTAAGCCGTATTAATCCTACAGGTATAGAAAACAATTCATTAATAATGAAGCATAGGCATGTCTGCACATTCGAGATAATTACCAATTTATTAGGATTAGGTTGAAAGCTTTATACGTAGCTTTTACCCACAGCTTTACTCGTGTAGTTATTATTTATCTGGAATTTGATGTATGGTAAGCCTTGTGCCAGGGGTAACAAACCTTTTTTAAAGGAAGGCCAATCATTGGATTAGTGGTACCCGTAAGCTGGCTCGAACGAACGAAAATTCATTAATATTAATAGTAGATTCCAGTGTTTTTAAATATTTCCTAATATCAACGTAATTGTGATAGAACAGTGGTTCTAAATACTTTACCAAAATATACACATTAATACTGATTTACAGAACAGCGCAGCGTCAATTACTGTTGGAGTTTTCGAAACGTGTTTTTATTTTTTAATCAAAATGTATAATTTCGTTTTTATTTATACATTTTTCATATATTTTGAGAACAAACCCTAATGATATAATTAGTGTAAATTTACATACCATACAGCGGAGTGATTGGCTGGGATAAGGAATCGTGTTCGGTTTTTCGATTAATCGATGTTTGGATAATCTACTTTATGTTATAAACTTACCATAAGTCCAGTCTGACATAGCATATAGTGTACAGTTTGCGCAACGTCTGCAGCATGAAGATTATTGTGATATGGGTTATGAAACTTGCAGTACCCCTCCTCTATCCGGCTCAGAAAGTTTTCCAAAGTTGGAGGCTGTACCTGAAATATATCAAACATTCTGTATGTTACACGATATTTACATACATACAAAGCCAATAGAAATTTCATTTAGTTTGAAACTCAAACTCGTTTTTAATTATAAAGCCATATTTACATCTTTAAGCAACAATCATGATGGACCCATGGAGGACCATTTTTGGTTTGGATATGGGTTTTTGCATTCGTACTCGGCTTTGCTATTGTTTTAGATGAAGACGATATTAATGACTACTAAGTGATATTGGTTTGTACTAATAGCTGCGAGATACGACAATAATTTATTGAAATTAAACATTATTTTTTTATCTCGCTTAATATAGATGAACCAACTTAATGTATAAAGTTCGTTTATTAATTTAACCACAGACATAGATCATAATCATATGTACATAGTGTATGTCAAGTCGTTTAAAATACATTTAAAATAATAGAAGTTTGTATCTGTTTTTTATCTCTGCTTGTATCTGTCATTAAGTTTGACATAAAATGTCAATGTCATTTTGACTTTTGATATGAAAGGATGGTGGAATAAGATTGTGAGATAAATTAACAAGAGTGATGTTAAAAAATCACTACTGTTCATTTATATGAAGGTTTGTTATCGTTAACCGTAGAGATTTTTGTGAGTTTATATTATACATAGATTTAATTGGGTTTTGTAATGTATATACAAATATTTTTTTATTACAGGTTAAAATAATTTTAAATCCTGTTATTATCGTACTGCAGATCTTTCCACGAATTATAAGTTCCCGAAATTTCATAATTTACAACTGGCGCTAGATTCACTTTATTTACTATAAAGTTGTTACCAAGTACGTGTAGACAGATAAAACGCGTGACTTATATTTCGCTTCATTCGCCTGAAAGTTCTTATCTAGATTAGGAGTGTTCGGGAAAATTCCTTCTGCTTAGAAACTCGTTATGTTAGAGGCTTTAGTTGAGTACGTAGCAATGCGAGAAACTTTCACAAGATTGAAAATGAAGGGGAAGTTGAAAATTCATTCATAGTCTATATTGAAAGACTAGAGAGATGAGGCTGCTAGAGTCAGAGTGGCCTAATAACAAGAAACATGATTTTTAATAAGGAGGAGAATAAAACAGCGCAATTCACTTTTTAAAAATTTAGTATTTTTCAAATGATGGCGCTATATAATTTAAAGATAAAAAAAATCTATTTTTTTAGAAGGATTTTTTTTTTCATTTTAAATGCGTAATTAACTTAGGCGAAAATGAATTTGTACTTTTCTTACAATTTTCGGCCACTGTGCTCTTGTAGATTAATATTTTACTAAGTGACTAAAAATAACTAATTAAAGTCATAAAATTGCCGTTAGGACCTCATATGTAAAGTTCTGTTTATGCTATTAAAAGGATATATTTAAAGTGATATATTTCGCGTTTTAAACCGCAAAAAGTTTTTTATTTGAGTCTGTTCTACTTGTGTTAAGTACAGACGTTATACATCTTTACAGCTCTCGTCAACAACTTTGTAAAAATAAAACAACTTTTTCGACATACTTGGCTCAGTTATTCCTATTTTTTAGCCCCCATCAAAATACTTCGTGAAGAAATATCGCGTAGTCTCGAGGTATTCGCAACAAGTATCCGATAAAAAAGTTTTTAACGAGTTATCTTAGTCTATTAAAACTTGTAAATGTATTTATACTGTTTGTATTATAAAGTTATTATGTGTACTTACTCGTTTATTAGTGGTATAAAAGTTGTTTTTATAAAGGTTTGCTAAAGATCGAAAATTTATCAGCTAACTAAAGTAAAATTTTACAGTATTATATTCTAGATATTTGTACCAACCTATTAATTTTATCAGGATAGAAGCAGGTCTCGTCTAACATAGAAGAAAGAGGTTCTAATCAAAACATTGGAGGCACCCCCCTGCTTTTAAACTCCGACTTGGTACCAGATTTTTTTCGTAGAATAATTCCCCTTACCAAACTAACATTTGACCGTCTCTGTAGTCAGTCAGTTATACGTATTGTCTATCATAGTGAGAGTTATTGATCAGTTACTTGCCTATAAAAGATCCGATCGATCAGTTAAACGGACACAAAACTATTCCCTCAATTCTCCACATACCAACTAACATTCTCCCTAACAATTGGAACCTGAGACTACTACTACATTAACCACTAGACCTACAAGACCTAAATAGAATCAACATAAGGTTCTATTTAAGATTGAACACTACTATTGTAAACTTCAGACTGACAGACAGAGAACTCAGATATTCAATACTCAACTTGAAAGAGATGTCGAAAGCCTAGCCAACATGCATATTCTATTACTAAATACTATTGCTCGTAACTTACTTTAAATTTATGTATCATTCCGTAGCGGTTAAGGAGTTCGTATCCAAGATATTTCACTGGATAACCGCCCGCTGCTTCGTGTAACGCAAATACGTCAAAAGACCATTCATCCAACGTCTGGAACAAAAAGGAATTAATCAGAATCATTAAACTCTTCGTAACTTACGGTCTCGGCAACAACAACGCTGTGAGATGTTATGTGGTTGGGGTATTTTACCTCCCACCAAATGAACCCCTAGCTTGTTGGCTATCATAAAAAAAACATTCGATTTGTTAGTTAATTCCATGCTGGCTGTACCCACGACTTTGTCCACGTGTAATCTTGCGTATTATAATATTTATTTTTGCAAACAACCTCCTCAGCTTTATAAACTATAGCTGTTAACCACGATGTCGAACTCGTCCCATCTTTTTTGCGAGTAATTCTCAAAAGATAGACATATACCGTGTTTATTTTTTTGATATTTTTTTGTCATCATCTTGTTTTTCGATCGCACGCAACGAGAAGCCTTTAAAAAATGAAGAATTTCCCATGATTATTCCTCTATTTCTTAGCAAATATTGGTTTTTATATGTGTTTTATAATTGAAATCCTTCCTTGATAAAAGATCGTTCCAACGCAAAAATAATCATCAATTCAAACCAGTAGTTTCTCAGATTATTGCGCTCAAGCTAATAAACGAACTCTTCAGCTTTATAGTATTACTATAGATTTGCAACTGTCATTAGAGTGGCCAATTTATATCCAGTGTCAGATAACATATGTCTTGTTATACTCGTATATATTTGATTTAATATACAAGTGCTTTAAGGAAGGATCGTACTGAAATCTCTTAATGGGAGTTAAATTAAAAGCGAATGATGTAAGATTTATTTCACACGTGGTTATTGTGATCTACAAAATTAACTGCTTAATGTTTAATGTTCTCAAAGTTAACTAGAATACATATGAGAGAAGCCGCTGATATGCGAGTTTAATTTCAAGCTCCATTTGTTTTACAGGGTCCAATGTTGGTGTAATTTGTTTCGGTCCAAGTTGAATGAGGGTAGGAATAAAATCCTGCGTGTTAACGTGCTTTAGCACTACGATTCACGACAAATAAATGAACTCCGCCTCCGTGAAATATGCTAAGTTGGTTTGAATCCCAGGAAAAAATTTAATTGTTTCTTCGTTACCTATTCATCTATTTATATTAACTAATGTAAGGCTGCAGCGATTGTTTGTTTGTTTGAACACGCTAATCTCAGGAACTGGTGGTGTTTGTGAGAGAATTTATAGAGGAAGGTATAGGCTGTAAAACATCGCGCTGTGACTAATGGGAAGGAGACGGATAAACAGCGGTAAGTGTGGAAAAAAACTAGGAAAGTTATTCATCTCTGGGGTTTTCGTTGCGTACACTGCGAAAACGGTTCAAGATACCCAAAAAATATGTACGAAAAAAAGTTTTCTTTTTTAACGATATAAAAAATTACCGCGAAACTATATGTCTGTCTTGTAAGATCAAGCTGCAATAAAAACGGGACGCGATCGACGTCGTGGATAACACCTTAAATCTATAAAGGTGAAGAGGAGGTTTGCAAAAACAAATTTTGATGGCCCAAAATAATTATTCTTTGCGGACGAAGTCGCTGACACAGCAAGTTCATATATAATATGGAAGAGACTAATGGAAATATAAATTGTTTGGATGTAAATTTCCATTAATATCAACATTTTAAAAATAGACATCAAGAATATTATCTTAATAATTAAAAACATTGAAAAAGTTAGCCATTTTGTCTTCGACAATAACTATATAGACGGTATCACCAAGTATAGACATATATATCTCTGTATTTCTGTAGATACATTAGTACTAAGCAAATAATTGTTTATTAGCAGTTAATATCATGTTTGTATCCTTTGAAGTTGTAATCTGATTTAATTAAAACAGTCAAAGGGAGAGAACTTAGTTACTTAGTGAAATTGTTATGTACATCATGTAAATATATACTTGTTACAGTAATATTAATCAATCTGATGGTAAAATTAGATTCGATGAATTCAATAAGTAAGTAAGTGATACTATATACTTATTGCGTTACATATTGTAGTTTGCGTTAGTAGTACAGTTGTAAATAAAACACTTTTTCACTCAAAATCGGATTAAAAGGCGGGATATATTAGTTAAACTATTTTTATCCATGACCGTCAAATCTTAGTTAAAATATGTGTACATTAAAAATAAGTTAAGGAATATATTTTGCGTTTTGAAGCGTTAAAAGTGTTTTATTTAAGACTAAGTAGTTAAAAATCTATTTCAATAGCGGGTCTAGTATCCTAAATTACTAGAGTCATTGCATACAACGCAGTGCTTAGGGGCTCGTGTCCCGCCCGTGTCATTGGAAGCTCAATTTAATATAGATATTTAATTTATGTAAGCTGTCAATTATTAAAAATATTTCAATTAATAAATTTCCACACATTCTTATAATTGGTTGCATTTTCTTATTTAAAATGACTTAATATAATCTTATTAAATACATATACATATGTAATAAGTAGTTTGTATTGAAATTTAAGACACAGGCAGGGCTCAAACCTACGGCAAATAGCGTTTGCAATTCGAATACGACAGCCATAATGTTAACGTAACTCGTCGAAGTAAAAAAATACCGTGCCATTAATTCTGATAGGTTTTAATCCCTGCGAGACGTAACGAGGTGGTTTTATGTTACTGGTTTTTTGTCACATTTTATGCGATCGCGAATATTTTATTACAGGATTCGAATGTAATGATGGTACATAAAATGGGATCGTTGGGATTGATTACATTTTTAGATGCGAAAAGCAATCTCGTCAAATCTCGTCAAATTTTGAAGTCTTTATGTGCGCTTCATACATAAAGACACCGGTGAGTATTTTAAAACTATTATTGAGTATCGTATGTAATTTACGTTTTTTTTATGTATTATAACTTATTAAGCCACTATTACTAACTGGACGTTTGGGTGAGCTCACCAGCGCTTGCCGTGTTTGCGGTTAGACCAAAGGTGCACCATGGAGGGCGTCGACTTGGCTTGGACCGCCGCAATGAGGATGGGAGCTTGAAGAGCTGAACGGAAGCTCATCCGGGTGATTGGGACGTAGAGCAAAATGACCTTTCCTTTGCCGAAGGCGCTTTCACGGACGATCGGCGGATCGCGTCGTGATAAGAGTTTGGTTAAGTTATCATCGGGGTATGTAGTTTACGTGAGAACACATTTTAATTTTATATTTATTATTTAACTTATTTACAATTTATTTTAAGTACGGCGCGACATTACGAATGCAGCAGCCATGGTCAAGGGGGAACGGAAGATGGTGGATACCCCTAATGTCATAGTCATATTTGCTATGCTAGCGCCATCTGTTTAGTCGTGGTTAATATTTCGAGAAACTAGCTATTTAAATGTAATTATTGATAAAGAAACTCCATTATGGTCTGGTAGTTCAATATTGTTTGTGTACTACCTTTTTTAAATTATAAAATACAAAAAGAAAAAATGGTTTTCTTGTCGAATATCATTTAAATAAAACTTTAACAGTTTTAAACGCTAACTCTAGTTAATTCATTTTAACTACAGTCACCAGAGAAATTTCATTTACAGACTCTCCTGTTGCCTCCCCGGCCGAGCCTAGCCGAGGATATCCTTTGTTACACTCACTTTTAGAACTCTAACGACGTCTTGAGGAAACTGCATCAGCGCAGTGCTGGTTACCCTCCTGTAGATCCTATCCACGAAGATACCAGCTCTGATCGCGTGCGCTACTGATTTGAACTTGGGCTTCTCATCCGACTTTCGTTTTGCTGTCGCCAGCTGCCTGGTAAACGTCGAAGCCAACCATTCCCTGACTTCTGGAGGTACAGCGTCAGGTTGAACTTCTGATAACTCATCATCTTCGTCTGCCAAGCGCCTGTCCACAACGTTTAATGGATTAAAACTGAACTAGATAAGAGAAAACTAAGCTTGGCGTAAGCTAATCTTATCTAGCACATAATTATATTTCCTAGATTACCTTTTACGTTGTAAAGTTCCTGTATTATTGTTCGATTCCTTGCACTAGCCTATGCACAAGCAAGGCGACAAATGTAAATATATAAGATAACTAATAATATAAAATAGAGTATCATTTGTTTTTGTATTGTTTTAAATACTTAGTTGGTATATAATCTGTGAAATTAGTTAACTTATCTGGAAATTATTGTAATAGCAAGCATTCGATTGTGATTATGCTATATAAATAAAATGTTTAATATATAATACATATATACATTCTTTGTTTTTATTTCAGGTACTATAACTGATGAAATTTCAGTGTTCGGAAAGTAATAGAAAAATTATCTAGAAATATTAAATTACTGTGTGTTCAATTGCGCTTAATAATACGATTTCATTGTATTAGTCTTCAGCAGGCTACTTTAAATAATTAATTTGTGTGTTGCAATTTGGGATTAGACAAAACGTGAACGCTATATCAAACAATTATTTTCCCAAGATAAGTTTTAGTGATTAATATAAACAGACAGGAAAGAAGATGAAAGCTAGACATAACTGGTAAGGGATTATGGGGTTAATTCAAACGAAAGTCACAAAGGACAAATACATGCAGTACCACAAAAAAACATTGCTTTTCATTTTTACCGTTTTTTTGAATGAATCGAAAATGTATTTAATTCTCTTGATTTAAATTAAAAAATATATATATTTAATAGTAAATAATTCAAAATTTTTTATTGTTTTTGTAGGAAAGTATAATTCGCTTATAAAGGGACGGTTGTTATTTAATATCTTATACCTTTGAAAACTTGATTTTTTTTACATGTTATTGGACATGAAGGTACTATAATTTCGATTTTTAAATTATCTTATTCCTTTTGATACTATATATTATGTATTTATATATCTTTTAAATTTATACACTTTTAAATGTATAAAGCTTGAATATGATTTAATATTATAAATGAATTAACTAGTATTTTTTTTAAGGATAGAGGAGGACAGACACTTAACTGTATTAGGGGCATAAATTATTATTAAATACTAAACGTTATGTTTAAACGTTGTTATTAAGCTTCGTTGGTTCGTGACCCGGACGGAATATCTATATTCCTACCACCAATTCAATATCCACATTTGTATGAAACATGTTGGACTCGGTGGGGATCGAAAACACAACGTATAAGCCATATAGGTAGCCGTATAGTTACTTTTAAACCTTTTAACAGTTTTACATTATAACAATTGTTTTTAATAAACCTGAACTGTGCTCCCACTAATTGTAGCTGGGTTCGCTTTGCTAAAGCAATATTAAATTAATACTGTTGCAAATGCTGCTTTATTGTTTCAAGTTAATTGCTAGTATGGTTTTCGAGAACCCTGTAATTACGTTGATTAGTCGGCAAATTATTACTTACACGACAATATTGAATTGAAAACATTTCTTTCCATGCTCTTAGTTACCTCTTACTGTTATTATTTAACTTAAAGCTTACAACATGTATATAATCAGTAATCATTAATTTATCATCATGATATCAAACAAAAGCAATGTTCTTTCGCATAGTACATAAGCTTTTAAACTTATATTGGAAATTAGGTTTAATCTGAATTCTACTACCACTTGTAACCTTTTTGCATATATAACACACATTAAAAAAAAGTATTTTGCCCTTAGACGTAGTAGCTAACGTAGCTTATATTCTACAGTGATTAACTTGAAATTATGACGTGGGTAGTTTAGTGGTAGCTTTATATGAAACTACCCGCAGGATGGCTCGAATTCTCAGTTATTGTTAATTATATAATTGGCTTTACTCAAGTGGTAATAGATATCAAATTAACGGATAACATCGACACACCTAAACACCAGGGTCGGCGCCGACTGCTGGCGCGCCACGGCCGGTCTATAATGAAACACCAGGTCATTGGATACACATAGGATTCGGGGATCAACATACATTGGTCGTGACGATATACCATGAAATGGAAAAGCTTTAAAATATAATTTATGAACTTTAATATCAGCTCTATCATTTCATGATAGAACGCCTCCAAATAATGAGGATGTTTTATTTAAACATATGCATTATAATATGGAGTTTTAATGTTAACATTTATTTACAACCTATATAAACGTTTATTCATTATTTAAATGTGAATCTGTTTATTATAAGTTTAAATATATACAATGTACAAAAAAGTTTTGCAGAAGTAACTAAATTCAAGCGAATTGTTTTCTAACTACGGTCACCCAAGAGTCATGCCAGAATGTGACGATAGACATGGGTTAGAGTACTTCACGGGATCAGCACACAGGGTCAACTCGCTACTATAGGGGCTACAACTACGAACAAGTCGTGCGTGGGTAAAACTTGCTCTCAAAATCACACTTCAAGGTTAGACTACCAGGAGAGGGCGCTGCGAGAGATCAAGCGAACAGAACAGAAAGACCTAATCGCAAAGAGTGGACAGAAGGGAGGCTCGACTACTTGGCCATTGCCGGCGTTGGTGTAACGGTATTAACTTTGCTTCGTGTTTCTCTACAGAACTGGCCCAGCACGGTGTGCGGAGCCTCCTGGTTTGAAGAGTCGTGGCCTGGCGCGGCTGCTCCACCGGTCGTCTTACCCTGTGTTATAAACCATCACTGGTGGCGCTGAGCGCCTCATTACACAACCAGGATGATGGTTCCCAAAGAGTTTCGATATTGGAGAAGAGCAAGATCAATACAGTATCGTGCCTTTGAAGGCTCTAGTGTCTCGGATCAAACGAAAATATTGAATGAGGTCGAAAGCTCTTCTTAATCAATACACAATGAGGTACAGAAATAGTATTTGTATCTTGTAACTGCTTTGCTGGACTAGTGGGTGGTGTATGATTAGAATTCCGGATTGGGCAATATGATGAGTCCAGGTTTTGGAGGTTGTTAAACCGATAGCCCCAGTTATTATCACAAGTTAGATGTCTGTATTTGTTAAAGACCACCAACAGATGGAGATCTGTTCCCAGCAGTGGCACATATGCTCTTTACATTTGTTCTTAATATTTTTTCTAAAACTAAATTCACGTCAAAAACAAATATAAGTTAAGCTGTATACAGCTTTCGTTTGTAAATTGTATCTTTAATCGTAGATAAAAACTTTCTAGTAATTTTTAATCAAATATACCTTAACTACACTAGGACGAAGCTATAAAAAATCATTAGTTTTAATTAATTCAAATACTATTCATACTGAAAAAAAATTTACGCCTCGGTCGGGACTTGAATTTCATATGTCCAAAATCACAGCGAAATAATATTATTTAAATATAAAATTAATTAGACACGAAACTACTTTGTATAGAGAACTAACTCTAAAAGCGGGCATATATTAGTCTTCAGAGTCTGTCTTTGTAACAATACATACGTGAATGTAGACGGAAAACGGATTACCAATATATATGTTTCCATATATGCCTCTCTATATGTACGGAAAACTCGAAGCATAACTGAAGATTTATATACGAAAGAAAAGGTTCTAAGCTAAAGAGAGCACGTTTTAATGTAAAGTTATAAACGATTATATAATAGAGAGTATATTATATCAAGTAATTAATTGAAACACGATAACTCGGGATTAATTAGATTTATGAAGATAACATTACCAATTATTATCCTTATAACACGGATATCTAGTGATAATATAATGAATATTATAGATATAAACGGTCTCATATAAGTGTCAGTTTTAAATTTAAAAAAAGGAAAAAATATGTCTCCAAATTAGGAAGTATATTTTCGTTTTTCAAGCACTATTTTTAACGTTAGATCGTGGTTAAAATACTTATATATTTCGCGTTTTTAACAATATATTAAAAATAACAATAAAACCCGATGGTCTAAAAAAGTAAACAAATAAAAAACATTACGGTGTGCACTGTTATAGGTACCGTAGTTAGGAGAATAAAATAAATAATGGTTAGAAATAAAATTATCAAAAATTGCTTAATTTATTATGACAACTACACATTATAAAAGTATCATTTATGTGGTAAAATAGAAAATTCATTTATTGCGCGCGAAACAAAAATGTGACGGTACTATCTACTCTCCCTTCGTCTTACGTTTTTTTCATTTTTTTCCATTTAGTTTACTAGCGTCGAGTTTAATTTTTTTTTACCATAACAAACAAAACATTGATGAGAGTTTCACTGGATATGATAATATTTTCGTTAAAATAGATTGCGGTAAAACTTTTCTATAAGATACCCATTAATTCCGAGCCCGTAACAGATTTACCTTCAAGCCCTGAGACTTTTAGGACGAAGGTCTAAGGACGTTTTAAAAGCGGCCATTTCGGAGTTAATGAAAGCAAAGTTCTTGTCCTCACCTTCATTAAGCTTTTCACTTCAAGTAACGTTGTTACTATCTGCTTAAAGTGACCTTAACGTTTGATTTGATCTTTGAGTATACAAAATTAACCCACCGCAATTTCGTGATTGCTATAAATATTATTCTTAGAAAAATCGAATCGATAGTCTAAACACTTTAAGGGTATAAACCCACCGTTGTTTCACAGTAAACAAGTCATGATGATGATAACACCTCATACTTCTGAATTACGTCATCGCCTTATATACATTGCAAATATAATAAGAACAATTCTCCTGAGCCGGGATTCCAATCTAGGACCTGCATAATAATACTAAAACAACGGGACAATTAAAATTTAAATAGTAGACGAATTGCTTATAACCAATTTATTACATACATAAATAATTTCTAGCTTTTATATTAATAGCTTTAACGATAATCATATCCCAAGTTTTATCAAATGGTTAACTAAATAACCTTGCACACATAGTTATCAACCACAATTCAGTATTTCCATTGTAACGTTTATAAAAAGGAGAAATCACCGGTGATTACTGCATTGTTCCTTACAATGCTCCAATATCGAGGCACAATACACGAAGAAAGAAAGTGAAAAGCGAAAATAAGCTTTATAAACATTTCGAAATTGCCTATAGACTTTTTACATTGAAATCTATCTTCGTCAGCCGAATCTGAAACATAGAAATTTTAAGTTCTCGTATTCTTGACTATGGGTTTTGTAATTTAGGCCCCGAAAGGTTCAATTGAATACTCTCTTATCAAAATGAAAGTTTGAGATAAAGGATATGTGAAAATGAAACAACTTAAAGATTAAAATGCGAACTTTCTTTTCAGATATCTTTTCAGCAAACCGGGAAACCATAGATTATATTTGTGAAACGTCAATGTCAATTCTAAAAAATCTTACCCAATACATCGCGTTTAAATCGGTTAAAGTTGTTCCATTTACATATACCAAACTAGATTGTACCCAAACGAACCCTACGATTATTTTCTAATACCTTCGTTTATTTTCAAGTTAAGACACAATAATTAAGCACAAAACTTACTTGGTTTCATCAATGTAGACGGCTTCAAGAACTTTTGCGGCATACTGAATGTTCTTTTGTAATATTTCCACGGGTATTTCACCTCTGTTTATTTGTCTTAAGAGATAACGTAATCTGTGAACAATATTAGAATTAGCTTTAATGTGTATCGTCTATAAATTTTTCCCCATATCCTACACGATTTTTTGTGTCCCTGTCACTAATCGATTTTATTTAAAGGCAAGTAGTTGATCTGTGCCCGGCTAGAGCGAAACAATTTGTCCTGTGTTCCTGAGATTAACGCGTTCAAACAACCAAACTCTTCAGCTTTATATATTAGTATAGATTTTCAATCAGCATAAGAAGTATGATCATAATAAGTAAATATAAAACTTATTTATTTCGGCAGATATCAATATTTATTTTACCCAAATAAAAATCTATTAATTAAATTTAAAATTAAATCTTTTTGGACTGAAACTATTATCCGTCTGACCAATTGAGCTACCGTGTCTAAAATCTAGTTTAATTTATATAATACTATCATGCTCTATTGCAAATGTAAGAAATAATAATGTTTTCAAATTATGATCCTTGTTTTCCCTATATCTTTATTTTAGTTAAATGCAGTCCTTACTTTCGAAATAGGTAAAAATTAATAAAGAGAAGAGGTAATAAAATAAAGCCGGCTCGTGAAGCTAATGGATATTAAAACTGAACGAGTTTTTTTTTCGATCGAATAGCAATAATATTATAAAATGTCTTGTTTGTATCATTATACATATATTTTTGATTTTAGGTCTTAGAAGATAAATTCATCTTGTGTATTTCATTTGCAACCGAATGTATATTCAATTAATATTTTGATAGAGAAGAACATACAAGCGTGGGGTTTACTTGATAGTATGTGAAATAGCTATATATAATCCAAATAAGATGCCCTGTCGTCCTATATTGGCTTTGGATATTTGGAAATTCAAACCCCTTCCAACCCTTATTTGGCAATAAAAAGTAGCCTATGTCCTTTCTCAGGCTCAAAATATCTGTGTACCAAAGAAGTTAAAGCCGGACAGACAGACAGAGGTACTTTCGCATTTATAATATTAGTATAGATTACTTAACAACAAAACTTTTGTATTTTTCACATGATGGCATTATATAATATCGATTGTAGATTCTAAAATCGATTTTTAAATTGCCTAACAACAATTTTAAAATAAAAAGCACGTGAGTAGTTTATCTCCGAAAATCTTTTAACGTCTCATTAAAATAAGTACAATATCATCCAAGTACATAATTTATTTTCACAGTTATATCGCTCGTTACTTTAAGCGTCGCGTCTACTTAGAAAATAATTTGTTTGAGAGTCGTCACTCGGTGCGACCGACGAAATGAAGGGAAATAATTGAGTTCAAATGAAAATTGAATGAAAATAACAATTCGAAACGAGGGGACGCTTTCGTTATGACCATCTCTATTGTTCTTTGCTTTGATTTTACAAATGTTTGTATTATTTAACCCGGTTTTGGAAATTGTATGGTTATTTTATATAGTTATTAAGAGACGTCATGTTCAAATCAATCAAATTTAAGTGACAATAAGTAAAGCATAAATATAGGAATGGATAAAGTACCATTTCAATAAATCACTTTAACGGTTTCAAACGCGATATATTTGTAAAATTTATTTTTAACTTCGGCCCGATGTTTCGGATGCTTTGCAGCAGCCGTGGTCACGGGGAGACTATTTTTATTTTATATTATTAAACTAATTACTCGGGTAAACTATAGACAGTATTTAATATAAAAAGGAATCATTCTATTTTGTTATATTATATTCTTGAACCGTTTTCGCAAAGAAATCGCTCAAAGATGAAATTTCCTTTTTTCTAACATTTTATTCTGTTTCTTTTTTACTATTAGCCACAGGCTGATATTTTATAAACAAAGGCCTTCCTCGATCAATGGTCCAAACAACACAATTTTTTTTTCAATTCGAATCAATTGTTCCTGAGATTAGCGCTTGCAAACAAACGCTTATAATATTAGTATAGATAACTGTTTTTTTTTTTAACTGGTGTTGTGCCTGATGCACGCCCATGTCGGGCAATAGAGCTGTGGGGAGCATGGTGAATCGTTCTACAACCTCCCCGGAGACAATAGCTGACCAGAACTTACCTAAGAGCGGCTTTATCACAGGCGTCGGGCGTGTCTATGGCGGGCAGGTGCTCAGTGTCAAGATCCAACTGATCAAGTTGCTCATCGGTGGGCGGGGAGGACTCGGGTTTGCTCTTGCTGGAAGACCGACGGACTATCGTCAGCGCACCTTGTTCTGCTGGCAGAAAAAGATACACATAAGTTTTTTATCTTACAACAGACAAATGCCTGTATTTAGCATTTTCTCCCATTTAGGATATCCCAAGTATATTATACCAAGTGTTCAAAGTTAATTTGTGGTATTATAATGTCATCTTCTTCATAGGGATATTGAGTTAAATCAAAAATAAATATAATTTAAATGCGAGTTTTGCTATAAAGTACCGAATATAGTTACCGGATATTGATTTACGTGATTAAAGTATAAAAAATATTTTTGTTATTTAGTTAACGAAGCTCCTTTCTTGTCTAAGACTGAATATATTATGGAAACGTAAAGAAAACTTGTTATAATTTGAAAGAAAATTACTGTATAAACTTAAAGGTTTTACTACGAATTTTCTTAATAATACTATTCTTCGTTATATAAGAAGAATAAAGAGGCAACACAAGTCTAGGTAGAAGCAGTATAGCATTACATAGTAAAGTGTTTTCATAGAAATCTCATTTCCGACGAAGGTTCAACGGAAATTGTATGAAAACGGTTGTATCTCAAAATATACCAACGACGAGATGACCCGGTATCATATCACCAATTCTAAAGACATTGAATCTGTTCGTGTAATATTCGTCATTCATTCAATTTGAGTTCACGCGACACTAATCTAAGTTCAATCTGTTTTACCTACGTTCCCGTCAAACAAAAGTAGGTAAAACAGTTCTGGTACCATTTCTCCGATTTCTTATAGTTTAAACCTACCTACCTCTACAGTATTTGATTTTACACTATAAACGTACAAAATAATTTATAATATTATCATTTTTCTTAACATTGCACATTAAAAAAAAATAAGAATGGCAGATGAAAGAGCACAAAACAAATTGAAATGATGCAAACGAAAGGCTGTAAGACCGAGCCTCGTGGTTCCGCTAATGGGATGGAGTTGTTAAAACCTGGAAATCTTGGGTCTCCAGAACTGGAAATAGCACACAATGGATCGCGATGGCGGAAGCGACTAGAGGAGTCCACAAGGGTCTGTATAGCCATTAATGATGATGATGATGAGGATAAGCTTATTAATAGATTTTGACCCTTGGCAGGCTTGTTATCATTACTGCTTTTGTGCAAAAACACGTTAATCGCACCATTTCATTATAAGAGCGTGGTGATGGTTAGATTTTAAGATCTATCCATCCTTTGAAAGTAGATAGGTAATTGTGATCAGTAGTGGGGTATTAATAGGTAGAAACGATAATACTATTATTTACAATAGAGACCAGATGAATTCAATAGGTAAATAAACTACAATCTAGTAGCAAAACAGCAACGCTGAAGAAGAGCAGAATAAACCTAGTCGTTTCGTATAAAGTTTACGAGGGAATTGTTTTTAGATTATCCGCCCTGGGGGACGCAGAGTAAAAATATAAGTTACATTTCAGTCTGCACAAAGATTTATTAAACCTTATAGGTAAATTATTATTCTATGTAGACCGGCTGGTTGGCCTATTGGTAATGTAGAGCTACTAAGAACCGTAAACTCTTCTGTTTCGGAACATGTAAAAATCTGAGTTAAAATTGTATTCTGTCGATCACAGAATAAAAAAGAGACACCGTATTGAAGTGTATTATATTTTATTCTCCCATGTTTGTCTCTCTTCTGTGTCTAAAATTTTATTCATTTATTAAAACCAACCATAGATCCTTACAGAATAATAAATCCAACATGAGAGTGCGTTACAATAATATTTTATAGATCATATAATACATTATTGTTAGTATGACAGCGTGCAATCAAAATGTCTATTTTACAATTCACACTGTTAAAAAGTGCTCGCATAATTGGAGAAAAATGCATCAAATTTGTTCTCGCCCGGGGGCTGATGGCGAACAATGCTGATCGATTACGTCGTCGTATCTAGGTACCTGGGACATAAAAGCTTATGGAATACATTGTGTTAGTAGAAAACTTATTTATATTTACATAGTATTACTCTCAAGTTGATGTATATCGCTGAAAATACGGCAAACTTAATCGGGTACACCAAATGAAAACTGATTTGGACTATGAATTGTAAATTCGTACAAAAAATGTAAAATTAAATTGGATGACTTCTGTTACGTTATAGTCTTTTAAATAAAACAATTTAACGGTTTAAAACGCGGTATTAGTAACAGGGAGACGCGTGCTGCTGTAAAGCATCCGACACGTCAAGCCTTAGTTTTATTTAAACGTGTACTACTCGCGTAAACTACAGACAGTATTTACCTTATAGTCTTATAAAAAGTTTACATTTATTTAAATTTTATCTATGACTCAAGTTAAAAACCTATTTAGTCTATCGTGTTGATACACATGGTTGCCATGGCAACAAGTGGCTCGTAGAATTTAACCGCAGGCTTTTTGCTAATGGTTAGCTTTTATATAAAATGTTGTTTCCTACGCTATTCCGTTTGGTCTGTCATAGTAAAATTCCAGACTATAATAGAGTGGGAGTTTTTATATGCTAGTACTTCTATTGTGTATCGTAGTAGTATATATGTATTATATAAAAATCTAGTTACGAGTTTGTGTAGGGCGATTTACTGAGCATTAAAATTTTAATTACTTTTTAGCCAGGTAAAAACAATGTTCGCTATATTATTCTACGTTACCTCCTAACAGCTATTCTTTTATTATATTTCAGGTTTTAATCTTAAAACTAAAAACTAAAAGGCTTTTATACATTTAAGTATAATCCTACCAAAAATCACTATAATTTTCGCTTCAATAATTTAAGCTTGATAAAATTAATGGTACATTTGAATCCACGACCAGTATCATATAGTACTGTTGGTCTACAAATTGTCTGTTAATTTAAAAAATATCGTAATGTTAAATAATAATAGAAGAGAACATAACCTAAAAGTTATAACATTTACGAACCCTCACATAAAGCAATATTTCGTACAATTTCGGAAGTAATTACTAAAACAAGTGGCCGCTTTGTATGCCGTGCCGTTACAGTGTTTTATTAGTAACTGAAAACTGTTTCCAAACAGCCTTTGTCAAATTTCATACAAAAGATAGAGTTAAAGAATTACTAGTACTATGTTTGGACGAGACGTAATAATAAGATAAATGACATTTAAAATACAATGCCAAACTAAAAACAGAACGCGTAGTTAATAAATAAATGTATAAAAACTTCTGAAACAAATTTTAGAAGAAGTAGGAATGAAGAGATCAAAAGATTAAAATTAGGTTAGGTAGGTACATGGATGAACAAACTTAATAAATAAATCTATGTAAGTTTAATTTTAAAACGTTTTTTTTTTAAATTTAATATTATGGTTAATCAATATAATGATGAAGCTACACAGTGTTTTATGTCTTTCTCTCATAAAAGAGAAGAACAGACAAGCATGGAGTTCACTTAATGGTAGGTAGTTGATGTCGACCTATATTGGCTTGGGATATTTATTTTAAGATACGTCTAAAAGTGATCGAAGTCATGATCAGCAGAGACATCGGATTATAGCAATTAAGATGAAATTTCTTTATTTTAAAGATCTTGAATATAATTTATTTTATCGAACTCCAAAGGACACTTTAAAGGGTGTATTATTTAACTTCAGTTATAACACTACACCTTCCTCTTAATTATTCACGCAACTTTACTTACCTTGAATAATTAGAAATAAATTTCATTATCGTACCCTAAACAAAATCTATTGTCCCTTTTCCAGCTCCGAATTGTATTGAAGCAGTTTTTCTTGGTCAACCAGGTCCCAAAGGAAACAAAATGTAATAGGCTATTTCAGACACAGACACGACAAGTCCCCGGTCAGAGATCGCGTAAGTTTGTTTTAAAACAAACAAAAGCCAGCAGCTTTAAGGAAAGTTTTGTTAAATATATTTGAGTCACGATTTAATCCCGTAATTTATTTTAATCTTCAGACTATTTAAGGGTCATTAAAATGCGTGGAACCTTCACTGCCTTCGCATTTATATACTCGTGGTAGTTAATTTGCAAAAATCGCAAGAAGTCCTGCGTTCATATCCTGAGGAAATATAATAAATAGCCGTGCAAAAGAAAAATAATTATGCGAATAAAATTAATAAAATAAAATAATAGAAACGAACACAGATAAATGTCCGCTTATGCTGCAATTTCTTGGATTTTCGTGAATTCATTAAATAACCATATTATTTGCAAAATTTATATAAATTTATTTATCTATTACAGCTTTATTAATTTTTTAAGGTCGTTTATTGACAGCGAGGTCATTGACGACCACTATAGGTAAAATGTGCTATATACTTATTAATAATCTTAAAGTAATTGTTTATTTTCTTCAAACTAGCATCTTTGTATGGGATGGATCAACCTTAGGCGAAACTAACCTATACAAATTAACAATTTTAAGAAATTTAAGGGTCTTACTATGCCATTTTTCACCAAGACAATCCGTTACATTATTTGACAAATCACACAAAATTCTATTAGTTACATACAAGTTACAATCTACTTATAAATGTGATACACTTAAATCCAGACCACATTTGCACTTATTTGGGGTAGCTTTTATTATGAGATGGATGTGGGATACGTTAGTGTGTACATCTTTATTATTTATAATACATACCACAAAAACAGCAAGAGAAAAAAACTTACGTACTAACTTACAAATTTAGGAATTCAACGAAAAATAAACCTTCTAATAAAACACTTACCGGATTTAAATATTAAAAACGTCAACCCAATTTATTTATGTAATTAAGGAAGTCTCTACTTCGAGCGAGGTAGCGGATAATTAATTAACGAAAGAAAAAGATTCTAAAAGTAGAATTACAGAAAAACGTCTAATTACTGAGAATTTTTTTAGCTTTAATCACAAAGATTAGCTATTTCAATTTTTTCCTGATGAAATAAAGTTAAAATATAAAAGAGGAAATCGACATTTAGAAATGTATAGCTGAGATATTTTTAACTTCGAATAATAACTTATAAACAAAAGATATAAACAGTTTGTATTTTTTTTTTCATTTATTCCTTTAGTTTCTTTATTTATACATTTGTACAAATGTTACCGGGCATGAAAACCGTGCAGCGGTTTATATGCCACGGATCACCCTCACAATATATAACTATTTATATAAAACACTTTAACGGTTTAAAACGCGATATATTAGTTAAACTTATTTGGAAATGATTCGTGATGATGATGAGCCGTGGTCACCCCGTGACCACGGCTGCTGCAAAGCATCCGAAACGTCGGGCCAAAGTTAAAAATCATGTTTTATTATAATATGTAATATCAATAATGTTTTATTTAAATGTGTACTACTCGCGTAAACTATAGACAGTATTTAATATATAACTATATCCTATACCTATACTCTTAATTAACTAACTACATAATTAATTAACTAACGAACTAAAATGTCGCGCCCCGGGACTGATGAAGGAAATACCCTTTGATTAGTTCCTTACACCTGTCCGGCGCAGATGATAATTTACAGTATGTTGTTGACTCCATTTTGTTCAAATAATCAGGCAAAATGTAGTCCCATACTCGTTCCCCATACATATTATTACAACGCGGTAGCAGGTATCTCGGTATTTAAATATAGTTGTCAGTAAGTATTATTTGCATTGTTCTCGATGCATGTTATGTTTACATAACTTAAAACAATTATGTGATATAGGTCAAAACGTGCACAAAACGACACAGCATATTAAAGTAATTAAATGATAAGTGAAATATTTCCATGCAATACAATTTCTAATAAATGAAAATAACTTAAATCGTGCATAAGATTGTTGAAAACATACTGCGGGTAAAAATTATAAGGAATTCTTGAGAATGTCTTATTCTTATGTACAGCGCAAACTACAATAATACTAAATTATTGATGTCGAGTATAACTTATTAAAACTAACAGTTCAATTGCAAACACGTAGTTATACGAGAGAAGAAAGTAAAACAATGAAATTAACAATACATTATTTAAGAAAACAGTAAATTTTAAATTAGTGTATTTTTTAACTAATAATTTAAATATTATTCAGTTTCGCTTTTTAACTATGAAAATTCTATACTTTTTGTCATGGTTATTTATATATTCTTCAACTCTTATTATTCGTAATTTTTATTAATACACATCGAGAAAACCATGTCTGTATGGCATTTCTTTCGAGAAATTTCAAAGATTCATTTTAAAGCTTTCATTCTGCTAAATACATTACGTATAACCGTTTTAAACCCGAAATTATTTACTCGTTATTTTTAGTTGATCATGGCCACAGGCCACGGCTGTTGTAAAGCATAAGACCTAAACTATTATATTTCGTATGAATTATAGCTTTTTCTTTCTTATTTAGCTTAGTATTGTAGGCCAATTAAAATAATACATAAGGGCTACGTTACCGTGTTTCTAAACGAGAAATTATAATTGCAAATGGCGATAATGTTATCGGGCAAAATAATGAATACTATGAAACAAATGTACATTTACGGCGCATACCCGCAAGCTACGTTTACAACTGAAATTACGGTCTTTCGGTTACATGTCATGTCAGAGCGACGGCGTGGTAGCTATGACGAGCGTGCTAAGGCTGTGGTCTGCTATAAAGGCAGTATATCTGCATAGCTTGTAATTTATTTTATTGTACCTTAAAGATTTTAGACCTTTGATGGTTTTTATTAGAAAAATATTATGCCAATAAGAATTAATAACAAGATTTTGTCTAGCAATTGTCAGTGGCGAGTAAAAGTAATTTAGTAGCCTAAAAGTTATTTGATTATTGTTATTCGGGATGCAATGAATGAAAGACTAATTTTGTATAAGATCCTATTGATTTGTAATCTGTGCTCTCATTGTTCAGAGCTTTAGTTTACAATGATTAGTACCTACGCTGTCAGTATACGCAAAATTTGGTCCTTAGCTTATGAGACCATAGCCTAAAAGTCCTATTATATTTGACTGAAAAGAAAGATAAAACCCAAGATTGAGACGTGTGCCAAATTTCTGAATTACAAAGCAATCCAATTTCGTATTGTTTTAATATTCTTTTCGACTCATGTGATAAAAGAATTCTACGTTTTCATGTTAAAATTTACAAAAATGAAAAGTTTGAAAGATTTGCCAACTACTGAGTGAAAGCCTATAAGAGGTCGTGCTTACTGGGAGAAGTGCCGTTGCGGGGCGTGGGGGGCGGTTGCGGGCGAGGTGACTCGTCACGGGGTGCGCCCGCGCCGCCCGGCGGACTGGCCACTGTAAAATAATTGCACTTTAAAATACTTATAGCTTGGTAAAAGGCTTGAAGTACTGTCGTGCTTTTTCCTTACGTTGTTTAAAGCATTAATTTCAATCAACAAATATGAGAAAAACACAATGACATATAACCTTACCGAATTCATGCGCGAAAGCACTTTCCGTTAATAAAACTTTATTAATTTTTACATGTTGAAAAAATTTTCGACTCGGGCAGGACTTGAACCGGCATCGTCTGCGTTCCGTGCTGTTGCTCTACCAATTGAGCTACCGAGTCCTACACCTCAGCACGGAACGCTGACGATGCCGGTTCAAGTCCTGCCCGAGTCAAAAATTTTTTCAATTTATTTTCGATTTTTAAATTATATATGCTTCCGTTAATTATTTGTTTCTAGTTTATCAAGAACAACGTTGAATAAATTCAAATCTTCAAAAATAATACAATTTCAGCTGTTCAAGCTATTATATAAAGGGAACCAGTATGTAAGCTAGTTTCAGGCACTGTTATTTTCCCTTAGACAATGTTATATAAGTTTATTGAAACGTGAAATATCTCACTAACGAGGGAAGCCAACGAACCGTTTATATATGACAAGCGTAATACTAAAATGATTGATTCTACGATTTGAGATTTACTTAAATTATATGTTGCGACTTATAATTAATAATTAATTATGTATATTTTAGAGAAAATAAGTTCTTAACAACTTCAAATTCAGATTTCAAATCTATGCGATGTTTGATAGAGACCTGAATTAAAAATTTACAACGAATTTACGGCTTAAACAATCTAATTTAAATAAGGACATTTTTAGAGCTTCAAGATTTTGAAGGAATGGGTCTCGGAGTTTATAAAGCTGTTGGTGATATCTTCAAGAGATGAGGAGGTGGTACAAGTACAATAGCTATTTAAAATTCATAATTATAATTGTGGCCGCTAGATATTTTCATAGTCTAAAAATTTTAATCACACTGGCCGAAAATTGTTAACATAATTCTTACACAAGTAATAGTACAAATTAATTTTCATCGTAAATCTTTGTCTTCAAATAGATATATAAAATATAACATTCATTGAATATTCTACCACACTGTGCATTGCATAAATCCTTCAGTGTACGCCAAGTATCAGTTAACAAAGGAATAAAATAGAAACGTGATAGGTGAGAGAAAAACCTCTATTCCTCCAGGACTAGTATATTCTACTTAACATGGCTCGGAGCGGCGTGATTGCTGTGCTACAATAAAAACGCCAATAAATGTGATATGTTTGGTTTAAGTCAAAAATAGAAGCGTGTGACAATATAATTATATAATTATCTGTAAACTTACAAAGTTGTGATATGTAACTTAAATGTTTATGTTATTTGCCTAATATGCAATTTGTTTAAGTGGTACATATTGTATATTTAACGGTTTAAAAGCGAACTTAGCACAGTAACCGCTGCAAAGTATTCAGAAGTTGAATTGTTGAAATTGACTAAGAGGTTTTTAAATACCATTCAATTATTGCCCATTGTTCTAATATGAGGTCGCTAGAGGCAAAGTACGCTAACTACAATTTTATCACTTGACTTATTTATATTTTTAAAGTCTAAAAATGTAAATATACAAGAGCACAGTGACCAAAAATTGTTAACATAATTCTTACATTCATTTTCACATAAGTTTATTGCACATTTTTTTCCTCCCTATAGAAAATAATCTTTTTTTTTTGTTATTAGTAATCTAATATTTACTTAGTTACGTCTAATACGTACTTACTAACCAGTTTACTTGTGCCTTGGACAGAACCTTTGCCAGTGGCCGTGCAAAACGACCCTCCATCGAAACACTACCAATAACTCTATAAAAAGCTTTATGTGCGAGATGGCTATAAATTGAGGTATTTTTTTACAGCTGGTTTAAGTTCTTTACCGTTATGTGTATGAATTTCATAAATATTAAAGTATGCGTCTGGATCGATAATAAGGCTTTATGTCTTGAATTTTGAATTCAATTCAACATAAATTATGATGTATAAAGTGTAATACTGAGTTTTGTCTCTTATTCCAATAGTTACCGAATACTTCACTTACTGATGATTCCTTTAAGTCACTATAATAAAATATCAATTGACAGTAATTGCGCCGTCTAACAGACGAACAACCAGCTTTTGATAAAATCAGTGTTGTAGCGTAACTGTGCTGCGACTAATACTGACGCAAGACTCTTTTAGCATCCTTTGATTTCAAATTTGATTATAATTTTTATATTAATTATTTTATTGTTATTACACTATTTATTATTTACCAGTATTGTAGAAAATTAATACAAAACAAAGACATATTGGCTTAACTTCTTAAACTCCTTTTCCAATTAGAAATGGATCATTAAATAAGATCGAATATATAATAAGATACATAAATAGATTTTTATCATTCCACATTGTTTATACAAATTATAGATAAATAATGAAATTAATATGCAGAACTGTTTGAGTTATAACATTCATTTGGTTTTTAATCGAAATAAGTTTCAACCACCAATGACATTTATAGTTTATTTGACATAACGAGATACAAAGATGAGAGTGTCTTGACATTACTGAACTTTAGAACTTTATCTGGTTATGAACCCACGCACGTTCAAATATACGTAATATTACAATACATATTACACACCTCAGTGTCTCTCGAATTACACAGAATAAATCTAAAAAGGTCACTGGGCAAAATTTCATGCATTCAAGAGAATCTTGCGCGTGTAGATCATAGGGTATCGTAATAAATTTTTCGGTTCACGAATCACACGGCAAGGTCAATTGGGCATTTTATCTCGGTGAAAATGGTCTGTAATAAGCTTTTCAGCCTTTCCTTGTAAGGAGAATCCTTTACGGTGTAGTTAATAATGCGTGACGTACGTAAGTTTTACGATTATTACGTCATAGGTTACGTTTTGAGGCATATTTGGTATTTCTGATATCCTTAAGATTATTTCAGCACGTTTATCCAAAAGGCCGTCTATTGTGATCTTTTGCATTTAAAATCTCAGTAGATTTGAAGGAAAATATGCATTTAAATACAATAATTTAACTGTTTAAAACACGATATATATAAGTTTAACTTTTTTTGAAAATTATTTTAATTGCGGCTCGACTTTGCGGGCGCGGTCACGAGGAGACTAAATATGGAGGGTGTCTTTGACGTCAAAGTAAAAAACTGCTACGCCATCTGTTCCATCGATGTTAGGGGTTTTGACCACGGCTGCAAAGCATCCGAGATGTCGAGCCGCAGTTTTAATGTCTACTGCTCGCGTAAACTAGATACAGCGTTTAGGAAAATATACGTTAAAACATAAGTAAAAACTTAAATATACAATTTACACAATATTGAGGTAACACGACGTGTAAAATAACAAATTTTTAACAGTAATATTATAAAATCAAGAAAAGGCACGGACCAAATCTGTTGAATTTGTAAAAGGAATATATATCTCAGTAGATAGACAATGGACAATATTAATTTTATAATATAGGGAAGACAGACAAGCACTTGATTGAAAGTACCTCTAAGTTAGACGCTGTTGATTAAAATGCCTAAAGCTATATTTTAGCTAGAAGTCTGTGCACTGTAACTGAAACGCGAATTTACAGTATACGACTATTTCATCTACGATTTTTGGACAAAATTTCAATATGTCCAAAATTTTGGACCTAACGTGGGAAGAAAGAAATTGTTGAATGATTTACAATTTTTTTTTATACATACATTGATAACTATTACGACTATCAGAATTCAAACGAATTTATGATTCCTAAAATATCGCTTTAATAGTTCAAAAATTGTACCATCTATCGTATAAAATAATGTTTTCATAATAAATGTTTATTGAGGATATCGTTTAGGGGAATATTCCAATCTGCTCACGAATCTATGAATGTTATACTAATGATTATTGCTATCGGCTTTTTCCTTATACTTATTCGTATCGTGGTTAGCACTTACTGTATTTATGTTATCGTGGGAAATTAGTCCACATATTAAAAGAACAAGACGCGACGAAAGAGCATTCAAATTAACTCGTATAAGGGAATACGCTAATTAATTTAATAGTTATTTTTATTGATGGAAAGTCAATTATCCCAGCGATATAACATCTCAACAAGATGCGCGGTCGACCCTTGGCGGCTTTTTATAAAGGCATATTCAAAAGTGCACAGACTAAAACCGAAACGCGTTTCATCTGTGTTTCGTGAAAGGTATATCGAACATTCCATATGTTCGATATACCTTCTAGATGAAGTTCAACATATTTTAGAAATCAACATAATTTGATAACGTGTTGAACCCATATAAAATAAAATACATCATTTTTTGTATGGGCTGTCGATGTGAACTAACATTTTTTTAACTTCTAAATGGCCTGTCGGTAGCATAAAATATGAAATCGATTTGATATAAAATGATTTCGCAGAACACCTGTTGCACCATTTTGGTAATATCTTCAAATGACAAGGAAATATTACTTTCAAGTAGGAAACGTACCTCGTAAGCGCAGCTATATTACTGTTTTACTGTGCAGACAAATTGTTTCAAGATTGAAGAGACAAGAAGTATTTTATATTGTCCGTGTTTTTCGCGAGTAGAAGACATAAAAAAATAAAGTTTAAAAACAAGGAATACAGTAAAAGTAATTAATTATCACTATATGCCCATTATCCGTATTCAGCAAGTTTCGAGTTTTATTCCGTTAAAATGCGCTACCGACCTATTGTGGCATTAGATAGTCGGAAATTTAATTTTGGGCCAATCATTACTATCTACTTTTCTAAAACGCTATTTTCTACAATTTAGAGCTAAACTACTACTAATTTGACCCATGACCATTTATTTTTATTGGCAATTTAACACACACGTTCAACGTACATTCGCACACAGAAAGCAATTTTAATCATGAAGATGGAATGTTGGCGCTAAGCCATTATCATCAGCCGAAGTACAATTAAATCGATAATTCTCTTTGGTTTCAGTTATCAGTTTCAATCATATTTTATACGTTTCTTTTAAGTGCACTTTAGCGGTTTAAAACGCGATATATTTTTAACTTCGGCCCGACGTTTCGGATGCTTTGCAGCAGCCGTGGTCACGGGGAGACTGACTGTGACCTCGGCTAAAGTAAACTATAGATAGTATTTATACGCTTTTTGTAAAAGTTCTGAAGTTCCTTTTTAAGAACTTAAAGGCTTGATTATATCATAGGCAATAATCTATCAGGTATTCATTAAATACTTTTAACGGTTTGAAATGGAGAACATATTAGTTTATTTATTATAACTTGATTATTTATAAACCACAAATACATATAAAAAAGAAAAAATCTTACGTACTAACTTATAAGTAAAAGGCGGCCTTATCGCCAAGCAGCGATCTCTTCCGGGCAATCTGAAGTACAAGAGAAAAGAAATAGAGGTCTTATTAAGTGGGTAGGTGTAAGTAATAATAATTTATTGTTAGTTTGGATTAGAGTTTGAAGTGTTTTATTTAGCGGTAAGTACAAGAGAGTAAATTACATAGTAAGTAACTGTAATAAGAAAAATACTTTTTTTAAATAGAACTATATTTCTTTAGAACATGCGTTGGCAAGAATGCGTACTTTTAATTAATTCTAATCTGTTTCTTATAGTTACACTTTATATGTCACAAAATAACTTTTTCACGCGAGTGCCCTGTCATTGCGCCCTTCGTGTTCGATGTCCAATGATAAGAAGGGGAGTGTTTGACGTTTGTTATTACAGTGTTTATACGTGTCTACGCGATTGTACGCGATGGCTTTTCACTTCAATTCTGTGAATTGCAATGCAATTAGTATATATAAACATCTATCGACAAAGGCATATACACAATACAACAAGACGTTTTCCTTAAATAGATAGGAATACATATTTAATTTATAATATTATAAAGATTTATTAAATAAAAATGTATGGTACACAATCATAACTTTAGTTAAAGATTGATGTTATATCCGGTCACTGTATACGATAGTAAACTACTACTTATCAATAGAAAGAAGCGTCTGGTTCGGATATCTTTTTTGTTTTAGCTAGAATTTTTATATTTACAATTATATTTACGAATACAACACCACACTAACAAACTTACTCGTTAGTTATTTACATTACATATAACCTCTTTCGCTTAATAATATTGAGCAATTATAGGTTATACTTTTTGTATCTCTAAACATTTCTTAAGTTCAATAATTAAGGCCCACCCGGCTTCTTTAAAAGGTTGTCCGTCTTTGAGAAGTACCGCCACTAAATTAGTGATCATAACAGGGACCGACGGTTTATCAGCCCCGAAGTTGACGAGCTCGTCGGTAGCAATGTGAGGCTAATAAACAACTGGTCGCGGGTTCGATTCCCACCGGGTCCAACATTATTTTTATTTTTCTTAAGCATGATGGATTATATCTAGAAATCTGAGTATTGAATGAGTGGTAAGAATATCTAAATTCCGCCCGAGTCACGAACCCCAAATGAACGCATGAAAACTCTGTCAAGTTTAATGGCGTTTTAGTTTCAGTCTGTGGATTAGATGTGAAATGGCTGGGGGGCCTGTACTCCTCTATAATAATAAAAAACCTCCAAAACGAGTTCGAACTTATGTCCTCCTGATCAACAGTGGTTACAAATCACAGGCCCAATGAGGCAGTCGGCTTTACGAATACACTCAGTAAAGGTAGTTACAATACGAAAGCTAGTACTAATGAGGGTAGCTGCGTTAAAACCAAATGTAATCAGAGTGATTGCACACAAATTGAACGTGTTAACTCACTTACCCTGT